CATATCATTATCTCAGCTGTATCATATCAGCATCTCAGTATCTCAGCTGTATCATATCAGTATCTCAGCTGTATCATATCAGTATCTCAGCTGTATATCAGTATCTCAGTTATATCATATCAATATCTTAGTATCTCAGCTGTATCATATCAGTATCTCCGTTGTATCATATCAGTATCTCAGCTGTATCATATCAGTATATCAGTTATATCATATCAATATCTTAGTATCTCAGCTGTATCATATCAGTATCTCAGTTGTATCATATCAGTATCTCATCTGTATCATATCAGTATCTCAGCTGTATCATATAAGTATCTCAGTCTCAGCTGTATCATATCATTATCTCAGCTGTATCATATCAGTATCTCACCTGTATCATATCAGTATCTCACCTGTATCATATCAGTTTCTCACCTGTATCATATCAGTATCTCAGTTATAGCATATCATTATCTCAGCTGTATCATATCATTATCTCAGTTATATCATATCAGTATCTCAGTTGTATTATATCAGTATCTCCGTATCACAGATGCCTCCTTTCAGTATCTCAGTCATATCATATCAGTATATCAGTATCTCAGCTGCATCATATCAGTGTCACAATTGTATCATATCAGTATCTCAGCTGTATCATATCAGTATCTCAGCTGTATCATATTGGTTTCTCAGCTGTATCATATCAGTATCTCAGTTATAGCATATCATTATCTTAGCTGTATCATATCATTATCTCAGTTATATCATATCAGTATCTCAGCTGTATCATATCAGTCTCAGCTGTATCTTGTGAATATGCCTGATAATATTTCTGCCATTTCTCACATAAATATCTCTGCAATATCACAGCAGCCAACAACAAGGAAGCTGGTCTAACACTGTGAGCAGAGTATGTGTGGATGCTGAAACTGGTCTAAAGCAGTCAGTGAGTAGTGTGTGGATGCTATGAGTGTTCATTGACAGCTCACTGATAAATCAGACAGGTAAAAACTGGAGCTGGATCACAATCAGCTTCCAGGCTGTCATACATTATCTGCTATAAACACTCAGCGGCTAATTCAAACAGCTATTACAACACAAAAAGAGTTAGACTCATTTTAAACTTGTCAAGACAGGCATTTTGGAAGATAGTGATCTTTCAAAAATATTGTAAATATTCATAATAATAACATTGCCTCTGGAAATATATTTTCAAAGGCATCAAATGCTTTGTACTTTGTCTAAACAGAAAGTATAACTAGAAACATGTCTCAGGTTTTTTTGCCATCAGCTTTTAAAACCAAACATGGTCCAAGGGAGATAACTCCTCAATGGAAATATTAAAGGGGCACGGTTGTGCTTTCATTAATCTCAAAACCATTCTATGGGATTCACTTTGATGACAAGTTCATGCAATGTATCTTGACAATTTCTTTTATGTCAAAAACAGTAGAAAAATATAAAGAAATATTAAGCTTCACATGTTCCAAATAGTGTAATTCTCCATGTTATTAAAAAATATTATTCATTATTACCTTACCTACCTGTGACAGCATATGTAATTGTTTGTTGTTAAATGTGCACTCAGCAATATTTCAGCTATATGACAGCTGTCTGTAAATAATCAAATGTGGACAAGACAAACCAGTGATTGATATTATAAGACACTATCCACACCCTCGGAAGACATGCTGCCAACCTCAAGCCTGACGACTTGATTCATTAAGTTGACTCGTAACCCCATTATACCACATTTGGCAACATGGTAGCATTTTGTGAGAGACAGATGAAGGGGTGAGATTGAAGTTAACTTCAGGTTTTACCATTTGTGTACGGTTATTGTCAGTTTGTTTGTTTTGTTGTGTAAAAACATATTCTGCAATGTTGCAGTTTTATGATGGCGGTCTGTAAACAATCGAGTCAATCCAGTGATTGATATCATGAGCATTAATCCATGCAATTGGGATACAATGACATCATTGACATCAACCAAGTCAACAAATCTGATCACCCGATCCCTTTAGTCGCCTCTTATGGCAAGCATAGTCGTCTCTTACGGCAAGCATGGGTTGCTGAAGACCTATGCTAACCCATACTTTCACGGGTGGTTATTGTCAGAGAGTATTGGACAACTTAGCCCATGTCTGGATAACTGAACCAATGTCTGGATAACTGAACCAATGTCTGGATAACTGAACCAATGTCTGGATAACTAAACCAATATATGGACAACTTAGCCCATGTCTGGATAACTGAACCAATGTCTGGATAACTGAACCAATGTCTGGATAACTAAACCAATGTATGGACAACTTAGCCCATGTCTGGATAACTGAACCAATGTCTGGATAACTGAACCAATGTCTGGATAACTGAACCCATGTCTGGATAACTGAACCCATGTCTGGATCACTGAACCTATGTTTGCATAACTTAACCCATGTCTGGATAACTGAACCCATGTCTGGATAACTGAACCTATGTCTTTGATAACTTAAAGGGGCACTAATCTCTGGCTTCTCGGCTGTCTGACACTGGCAGCTAGGGCTCATTAGCTGCTGTAAGTCGATTTGCTCGCTAATGCAACTGAGCGTGACAAGAGACTGTGCTACCGTCTCCAAGGACAGCTAAATAAACTTGTAGGCAATATTTGTTTTACGCATGTTTGAACACTGATTGGTTACCCGTGATCTATGAAGATTTCGACAAAGGGCGCATGTTAATTAATTTCTTCAGCCTAAACAAACAGACAAAAAGAATGGCAGAAGCTCATCTGATGTCGTTATTTGGAAATACATCTGATGGATATAGTTTAATAATAAAAAAAAGTATCTCTGCAGTGAAAGCATTTTCGGATTTCGGATTGCGTGGATAATATGATTACTACTCCCTTGTTGTCATCCATGTTTTCTGGTATAACCCTACACTTGTGTATTCACTTGATGCTCAGTTAATAATTTATTACAGGTATAATTAGTGGGTGCACCACTCAGATAACGTAATAAGGGTTCCCAATCGGCATTTCTTGTGTCTGGGGTAATTATTCAATCTAAATCCAGGTTTGAAGTGAGGTGAAATGTGTGTTATGTAATATGCACGTGGCAGCCCAGCAAGAGATGAATGATCAGTTGATTTACTTTTTTGTAAATCAACTTATCATTCCTAGCCATCAAAGGATCAACAGAAAAGAAGTTGATTGTTTAATCACTGTTATCTTTCACAGTTAATATGTCAAAAGTAAGTGATTACATGTGTAGGTTCACTAAAGCAAAGGGCATACACTCATATCATCATGATCATGGCGTGAAGTGCCGATGTAAAAACAACATACTTTGTTCAAAGGGTTAACCGATAATATGTTGATTAATTGCTCACTGTTATCCAACTCAATGGATTTTTTTGAGAACCGTGGACATTATGAAAATAGTTGTCACGTGGGCTATCTCAGCTGACCTTTGAGACTTGACACCTATGTAAAACAACTGAAACAATCTAAGTGATCAGTTGAGAAACAAACACAGGTTATAATTTCCTGAACCGATATATATATATTAAAATATTTGATTGTTACAGAGACATGTGACATCGAATAAGTTTTTTTGTACAACTGCAGACGTGTTGGATATTGTTCCTTTATGTGGATATTCACGGATACATTCCTCGAAAAAGGAAGCTGCCTAAAATTATACATATGACTTTGGTAGGTTGTACATTGTAATTATGATATCTGCATTTGGTTTTCATTCATGTGATGAAGCATTGAACAGAATCATTCTTGTTCCTCTACATCTTGGTTGGGAAGTTCTTTGATGTGCGATAGATGTTATTTTCACAAGTCTTTTCCTTTGTAAGTATGTATATGTTACAGTCAATGTGTAAAATGTGATTCACTCAGCTAATTTATAAAATGTCTAAATAATTCATCCATTTTACAAATTGACTGAATAATCGGGCGATTTGACTAAAAAACATCACAGTAGATTATTTATGCTATGATTAGAAGCCAAACAATATACAAATGCACATTCCTAATATTTTCAGTCACTTGGTGATGATATTAAACATAAAAATTTTGGAATTTGTTATCATAATGATACAGATGGACATATTTTTCAGTCAATTTGTAAAATAACTGAATATTGTGGAGTTTAATAAATTTCCTACTTGAGTGAGTGAGTGAGTTGGGTTTTACGCCGCTTTTAACAGTATTCCAGTTATATCACGGCGTGTCAGCTTAATGTGGGAGGAAAGCCCGAAGTGATGCAGGTCTCAGACGTTTACCACTTCGGTGAAACCCACGAGCACGGGTATGGTGCTGACAAACCTCGAAACATAATCGGGGCGAACCGGGATTCGAACCCACAATCATAGGTTTCTGGTGTGCCCAAGGGACGCAACTCTGCACAACGAATCGCGGCGCCTTAGACAGCTGGGCCACCCGTGCCCCCATTTCCTACTTGAAAATTTTGCACATTTTGACTGTAAAAACATAAACACAATAAATTAAGCAATGCTCAGGTGAAATATTTACTTTGTGTTGCAAGTCAAAATAGTGTAAAGGAAAATCGCACAATTGCCAAGCAAGTGCCTTCATCACCATTACCGATTCTTCCCACAAAGATACCTACATTTCCTTATTATTTCCAAAACTGTATTTCATTTTGTTGATCAATATGACCATACGCCCTTATACTATCCAAAAAAGTGACAAATGCGCTTACATATTGCGCAGCACAGGTCGCGAACTAGTCTAGAATTCTGCTATATCATCCGGGTATACACGGGGGAAAAAAAAAAGTAACAAATGCAACAACCAATCCCGGGGAATTGCTTTAGATCAGTGCCCCTTTAACCCATATCTGAACAACTGAACCCATGTCTGGATAACTAAACCCGTCTGGATAACTGAACCAAGGTCTCGCTTACTTAACCCATGTCTGGATGACTTAATCCATGACCCCTTCTTCATTTCCCCTCACACAAAATGTTAAATCTCATTCTTATCACATCAAACATACCTGACTGTAGAATTTGTAAAGTTCATCATGGGAAAATTCTATTCGGATCTTTTCTTTTTCCTGAAAAGAAACCATCCATAATGTTATTCTTGAAATAAAAAGTGTTGGAATTACGAGAGTAACAAAGATTTGAAGAAGCACGGACATATATACGTCTTTGGAAGAAGTAACTTAAAAACCACCAGAAATACAATACAACATTATGAAAACATATCTACATATTTTGGCTTATTATTCTATTCCATTTATGTTTCCTTGAACAATATCATAGAATGTCAGTCTATGGTGGGAGGAAACCTCAAAATGATGCAGTTTGTAGATGTCACTTTGACACACATTTGGTGAAACCCATGAACATGATGATGCCAACAAACCAAGCATATTCATCTGTTCAAATCTGGGATTTGAACCGATGTTCAGTGGATCCTGGCTTAACTAAGGGGAACAACTCATCACTGCAAATTGCAGCACCTTAAACCAGTAAGCCACCTGTGCTCTTATGAGTTATATCATAGTGCTGTAGTTGAAAGAAGCTATGACGCTATCGTCATAAGTCACAGGTCATAGGTTTACAACAGCCTTGTGAAATGGATCAAGGAATTCCCACAGGGGAGGATTTCTTGAAGTATTTTATAGTTTTAAAGGTAGGTGAGAATATTACCAAATACACTGATATATTTGGTATCTGACATTGTTACTATTGAAACAAAAGGACAACAAATCAAAAACATTCCACAGACCAAGGTGGAGGTGGCTGCAGGTTCTTTGAACTAAATTGAGGGTTTTGAAGTTATGCCTCTGAAAACAAAGTCTACTTAAATTGAAAAATGGCCACATTGTGGCAAAATAACTAAACCAAAAAAGGTCTTTGTTGTAGTGGGGATATAAGGCCTAAACTGAAACTAAATCAAGGGGCAGTCAAAGGGAGACAACTCTTCTTCTCAACTTACCTCACTTGACTCTTCACTAACTTGAAGTTCAAATAAAGCATTTGGTGACTTTAATTTAGTTTTATTTGACTGTGCCATCTGCAAGTTAAGTCGCCAGTTAACAGCCTCAAGCTGAAACCAGATCAAATCAACATTTAAGACTTATAAATCACTTATTTCCAAAGCAAAACCAAATTATAACAATTAATGACTTATTTTGGAATATCAAATGGACAAACTTTGGTGGCTTCTCACCTGCTTAGGCACAAGAGTTCTCTCCCTTAGCTTCTGTACTGTCTCTTTGGCACAACTTGTCCATTTCTCAACAATGGCCTGAACCTGTAACAAACATTACATTGTCATTTCACAGGTCAATCAAAAGGCTAGAAATTATGTGGATTTGCAAACAATGATGTTGTTCAAGGTTCTTGATAATGGATACTGCACATCATTCTCACTTTGATCAGAAATGTTTGCTCATCGTGACGATGGCCCAGGTTCGCTTCCTCACAACTGTTCGCTGGGTACAATGTGTAAAGCCAATTTCTGGTGTCCCCCACCGTGCTGTTGCTGGAATATTGCCAAAGGCAGCATGAACCCAAACTCACTCACTCACACCGGGACATTGTCCATCTCAATCATCTCCATTATCAAGTGACCCAGAGTGGGAGGCAGGGGTGCACACACACACACGTTTTGAAATAAACTAAACATTCATACATTTGGAAGCTTTTAATGTCATCTGTATACTAAGAGTAAACATATACTATGCAAAAATAGTAGGGGATATTTTAGTTTGAGGTGAACCTTCAGGAAAATACACCAATGTCTGGCAATGAACGTAAGTAATTTATGTGGCAAGAACATTTCCAAAGAAATCAAGCTCCCAAACACAATATTGTGACAGTCATAAAGCATGTGAACTCGGACGGCACGTGCAAGGGGTGGTATGCCAGAGTTACCACTGTCACTCAGACTCGGTTGCGAGCAGATGCTTATTGCTTTCTTGGAACCAAACGCTCAAAGTATTGATCATGTGACGTTTGCAACGTGTTGAACGTTTATGTGCCATTGGCATGTCACAGGTAGGCACATGTCAGAATATTGTTGCCCAAATGCTGCATGTTTCTCAATCTGTCATCAGCAGATTGCAGGCTCGATTCCAACAAACACATAACGTCAATGATCACAAGGTGCTCTGGGCGCCCAAGAGTTACAACTCAAGCCCAGGACAGATTAGTCAGAACAATGGTATTAAGAATTCGGTTCAAACTGCCACTAAGATAAGGGACCGATTGCAATAGGCAACTGAAGTAAGAGTACATGCCCACACTATGCGAAACCGTCTGCGCAGATGACATTTGCTTGTCATGCCACAACTTACTTCACATCATTTTGAATCAGAGGCGTCAATGGTTTAGGGAACGTCAGCACTGGGATAATCGACATTAGGCTTATGTCACGTTTTCCGACGAATTTACTTACATGACCAAAAGAATAAGAGTTGGGAGACATCCTAATGAGCGTTTTATGGACGTTAGCGTCGTACATCACGATCATTTTGGGTGTGGGTCCATAATGGTATGGGGTGGTATCACAATGACAGGCTGAGATGCGCTCCATATTGTCCATGGTAGAATCACAATATTATTTAACTCAATCATTTGGTGTATATTTTCAACAAACTTACACTATCACAGCAGGAAAATTGCCAAATCGGAAAATACAACTCTCCTTTTGTTATCCATTACTTGCAGAGGAATCCATAAAAGTTTATATAGGTGTTATAAGCAAATATTTCTCCTCATCAAATCTCACCTTGTCATCATCTATCTCCAGCTGTCGTAGCTGGCCAGTGAGGACAGCTGGTTTTGCTGTGTGGTACGCTGCCTGTCAAATGAGAAGACACCAATGTAAGACTGAGGTACTGGAAAAAGACATTCGTTGGAAAAGTATCAAACAATTGTCATGATTGTGGATCAAAACACTGCCTAGGTCAGGAGATGATCACTGGTGATACTAAGATGCATAATACATCTGAACATGTATGAGCAATTACACTGTGATGAACATGTCTTTGTTTGACTGTCTCAAGGGCTATGTATTAACATGGTCCAATCACATATGCAATCACATTACTCCCTAGAAAAATTACCAATACACCATATATACAGTCAAACCCTGTTATTCAGAAAAGCTTCATTTTGGATGATTACTGTTATTTCAGTGTCATCATGGTAATTAAAGGGATATTGTCGAAAGGTACAGATGAAAGGCAAATAAACAATGATAAATATTATCATCCATGCCAGCAAACTTTGGTTAATATTACATTCACTCATGCATTGTGACATGTTTTTAGTAATAGTCCATTGGTGTATGGGCTGTGATGGGTCTAAAATTATAACAAATAACATTTGTACAGATATATGAGATACACATGTACAAACTAAACTTTCCTTTCAATGTAGCAAAATAGCTATTTATTCCAATAATATATGGTTACACTTATATTACTAATATCTTGACTAATATGAAAAAATAATTTTGGAGAAGTTTGAACTTACCTGTTGTAAAATGAATTCAAGTGTTTCTAAAACAAGTTCAAGATCAGGGGCAGACAACTCAAATGTTGACTGGAGTTTTTCCTCTTCCTCTTCACTAAATGTTCTCTCATCCTGGAATCACATAAAATGTCAATCAGTTGTCAGGCTTAAATAACATGAATCATATAGTAATCAAGTTTAATATATACTTCTTACCTGCCAAGTAGACATGTATGTAGCAACACGACTGAAATCATTAAGATACAAGTGTTCAATGTCTGCCGCCTCTAACCATCTTAACATATGTGTCTAAATAATCCAACAAAAAATCAACAGTGATACAAAGAAAACACAGTCATTATTTAGAAAGTATGATGAAAACATACACAAGAGAACATCTTTGTGCAATAATGTGATTCGCAATTTTACTCTACTCACTTACTTAACTATCCCAAAAGTTGACCAGATCACTGTTGTTTTTGTATGTATGGAATACCACACATAACTGTTCTGGGATGTATCAAAGAATTCCAATCGGAAGAAGAAAATGGATAATAAGGATGACATTAATGGTGTCTCCTTTAGGTTTTATATAGAGCCTCAGCACACACAAACCTTCAAGTGCAGCTTCTGTAAGATGCGGTTTAGGAGCAATGGAAATTTGGAAGAAGCCAAATCATTTATGATCCCTACTGCTTTCTTGATGCTGAAAGAGAGTATAAAAACATCAATAATATAAAACTCAAGTAAAATGAGTGAAATAGATAACAAACTATGGCATAACATATCCTCGATTATATAGGACATTGTATCCTCATTCTATCATGATAAATAACCTGCAACAAACTTACCACCAAAGCTTTGTTTTGAAAGTGACGTGACCATCTCCTTATCACATGTTTAGCACAGAATTTCTCTCGCTCATAAGAGCAATTTGACTGTATGGCCATTTGTTATAGCTGTACCACTGCAATCAGGCTGAAAACATAGCTATGGTAGCGAGTGAGCCCAGGGCACCAATCTCCAAAGCTATTGATACGCTGTGTCTGTGTCAAGTCAATGTTAATGAATGAGAGTTACAATTATCTTAGTGACAAGATCGTTTTGTGGAATGGAACATAGGATATTATGAAAACAGAATGGAGATTTTTGATACTTGAGGATAGTTATATTAGTGAGTGAGTTTGGTTTAACGCCTCTTTTAACATTATTCCAGTTATATCACGGTGTGTCAGCATAATGCGGGAGGAAAGCCCGAAGTGATGCAGGTCTCATACGTTTACCACTTCGGTGAAACCCACGAGCACGGGTATGGTGCGAACAAACCTATAAACATAATCTGGGCGAACCGGGATAGTTATATTATGGAGAGCAAACTGACATATCCATTTTATTCTTTGAATTTCATAACCAGAACTGTTTTCTTACAATCGCACATGAATGAAAAGGCATTTGTATGAAAGTGAATTGTTCTGCAAACATATGATCTGTAATTTGAATTGTCATCTTGTCATCTGACGTTTTCACACAGCTGATCACTGTTATGATTTAACAATTTAGTGTTTCAGCTTATGCTTCTGCGGTTGTGACACAAATATACATTCTGTCGTACTACGGCAATGGTCCACTGAACACAATATATGGGACATCTATTGCAATTTTGGAGACACGCCCCCTTTTGTGTCCTCACCTCGCTGTTGCGGTGAACATCAGCGCCATGTTGAACAGCACGTGATCAAAACAACCAACACGATGCACACGGTTAATAATAATGAAGTAACCAATATTTATTCAATGTAAAACAAGTTGCATGCATCATGAAAACGACAAAGCTTTTATTAGGTTTCAAGTACATATATTATTCAAATAATTACCCTTAATGTTAGAGGAATGGCATATATTCATGTTGTATAACAGATGTACATCGCGTGTCCAGAGAACATGGCGGCGCCCACAGAGAACAACATTCGTTTTTCGTTTATTGCATAAATCTTCACAAATTACAGATGATGACAATCTAAGAGCAACAAACCGTCTTTATTTGTGCAGCTGACATCTCTTTGGATATCATTTTGAAACCTAGAAAGTTTGGGGATTGTGCCAGTGTCAGCTGTAGTCGAAGGTAGGCTGCGTAAGCATGTTTGTCATTTTTCGCCTGTCACGAATAACTCGAGTTTACTGTGCGTATTTTCATGTTGAGGAGGAGCAAAGCAGCAGTAATTACCCCAGTTACCTCCTCACACTAATCAAATAGGGAGTGCGACTTGACTCAATAACGATGAAATGATATCATTTGTTCAGCATGTTCAGTATTGTCTTGATATAACTGTGACGCTATTTTTCAGGGCATTATCATTTGCAGAAGACCGAGGTCTTCCATTAACTGCCCGACAAAGGAGGGCCGTTGAAAAGACCGAGGGCTTCTGCAAATGATAATGCCCTGAAAAATAGCGTTACCGTTATTATAGCTGAAATGGATGGAATTGGTTATCAAACAAAAAGAAACTACAATATCGGTTTTGAAACATTTACTGCAATCAACACAAATGTCACAGACCCACTTTTACAAAAGGTGGAAACGTCATAGAACAAACCAGATGATGTCACTATTGAACGTGACATCACCTTTCCCTACCCTATGACGTCACCTAAAAACAGTTGTGATAATGGCCCGTCGTCAAGCAATATGAGGGCATATTATCAATTTACAGTGGCGTGCTGATTTCTGATAACATGCGGGTGGTTTAATGATAATTTTGTCCATTTTAGCTATGATAACAGTTAAAACCAGATAACGTTCCAAGAAAAGTAAAGCAGGAAAGAATTCCTTTCATTCCCCCACCTGTATGTGGGTAATATAAGAAAAAAAGGAACAGCCTGTAGGAGCAGTCAGCCAAAACATATATGGTCCCAGGATTCCAGTACTGATCATGCAGGAGTAAAACAGGGGTAATTATCAGGAGTAAAACAAACTGGGAACCAGTATTTATCATGTTATTGGAATGTAATTTCATCATTTACAATATTTAACATTGTCATATGCTTAATCAATCAATTAATAAATCACTGTGAATACACAATGCCATTTTCATTTTTGTGGAAGCCTCGGTGGCTGAGTGGGTTAGATCGCTGACTTTGTGTGCTGGCGATTAGGTGCCTCACTCTGCCAAGTGTGGGTTCGAATCCCGGACGGGACTCAACCCAAAAAAGTACTAGAATCTGTACTTTACTAAGAAAGTGTTATCCCAAATATAACATCTGTTACAATAAATCACTGATTAGCAGAAACCACAATAAAACATAAATTATGTGTGACTCACGACAGAGTTAATTCTCATCATGCTCCTGAGAAGTTGTTGTACTGAATTCTAAAGGTGTTCCAACTCAACAATGAAGGAAAGAAGAAAATGTATAAGCTTGTGAAAATATGTTTAAGGCAATATTGATTTATATTGAGCAGTTTATCGTGGGGGCTTCATACAGGTCATAAATGTGAGCATCATGTGCATGTGCAGCTCCTCAGCCCCAGAACAGCCTTAAATATACAATGCATCATTTGAGTTTGGGTATTAAGAAGAGCTTAAGCATTGTCTGACAGTGTGCAATGATGTACTTACATATTAAGACAAAACAAATTTGTCATTTAAGGTTAGCATGTATTATTTCTATTTACAGGAATTGAAGGATAAATGGAAGATTAAGCTAATCATCTGATCATCACTCTGTCACCATGCCTTGGGGACAAGTTGTCATTGGGCCTCCAGGGTCGGGCAAAACAACATACTGTACTGGCATGTCCGAATTTCTAACTGGTCTAGGCAGAGAGGTTGCCGTGGTGAATCTAGATCCAGCCAATGACACACTGCCTTACAAATGTGCTGTGGACATCTCTGATCTGATTACACTGAGTGATGTCATGGACAACTTGAAACTCGGACCTAATGGAGGACTGATTTACTGCATGGAATATCTGGAAAAGAATTTAGACTGGTTGAAAGAACAACTTGAGAAGGTCAAGGTCAATTACATATTGTTTGACTTCCCTGGTCAGGTTGAACTGTACACGCATCACAACTCTGTCCGCAATGTGTTGGCAGAGCTACAGAAGTGTGGCTACAACCTGGTGGCTGTGCATCTGGTTGACTCCCACTACTGCAACGATGCAGGCAAGTTTGTGTCGGTGTTGCTCACATCGCTGTCAACCATGCTGCAGATGGAGTTGCCTCATGTCAATGTGTTGTCAAAGGCAGACTTGATAGAGAGGTATGGGAAGTTGGCATTCAACCTTGATTTCTACACTGAGGTGCTTGATCTCAACTTTCTGTTGGAACATCTGCAGGTGAGGGGTAAGGGAGATAATCACTGGTGGCAATAATTTCAGTTTGCAGACATTGTTGATGTTTTTGAGCTGTGTTCATTGGGTCATTTTTCACGTGATCAAACATGATGACAGTATTTCTGTGCAAATGAAGATATTTGTTTATTTATTTCAATTAAAAAGATCACTTAATAATCAGAGTTGATGTACACAGTCTGCTCAAATAAATTGTTGTTATTAAATTTCTTGCTCATCGAAGGAGGTCTAGAATTGAATCTTTGATTGGCATTAAGGGAACATGAGACATGATACTTGAAGGATGACAACAGCATTACTACATTTCTGTGGTAGATTACATGGCTGCTTCTTGCCGCTCAACTCTGCTGGGATTCCGGCGCAGTTTCCAAAACATATCCCCTAAGTGTCATACATGTCAAGGGGTGAGAATGTGCCATGGATCTGTGAAATTCCGCGGAGTTTGTTATGTCAAGTGTCATTTTTGTCATACATGCAATTACAATATACACATAAATCATATAGTCCCACAGACAAACTTTTGAAAAACAACATTCTCATCCCTGCATGTTGTAAGATTATAAGAGCCAAAAATATGATGGACAGTAGTTGCAGTGTGTGGCCTGGTTGATTGTGTGCCATCATACCCTATACATAGTTGCTCAACCACATTGTTGTGTGGTTCCATTAATTACAAGCCTCTGTGATGAAGCTGAAATGTTGGTGACTGTGGCATAAAACAGCATTCAGTAGGCTCTCTGAAGGTGCAAGAAGTAGCCCTAAAACCATCAACAATGTGAAGTCATCATCCATAGAATTCCCTCTCACTGTCATCAACTTGCAAAGTTTTGATTTATTAATTAGAATGAACCATTGATATATATATTCACAAACATGGTTAATTAGGTATAATGACTGTGAGGGTGAACTGCCCTTTATCTATTCAGGATGATCCAGTCTTCCAGAAGTACAAGAAGTTGAACGAGGCCCTGATTGGTGTGATCCAGGACTACAGTCTGGTCTCCTTCGTGATGCTCAACATACAGGTACTGTAGCCCACCTTGACATGGCTGCAAGTTCACATTGGAGATGTTGCTACTTTGACAAATAGCCCAGAAATAGTGTGATGTGCTGATAGAAACAAACTGAAGCATCAGCTTTCAAAAGGAAAGCATGCATTTGGCCATGTATTGGAATGAGTAGGTAATGTAAAGAGGGAGCTAGCCTTGTCGTGTGCCACTGGGTTGTAACCATGTTAGATAGGTCTGTCATACTTTTATGCATGAAGATTGACCATTATTGTTTGTCTTCTTGATATCATATCACCTGAAATGATATAATATATTATAAAATATGTAACCTCATGCAAGAAATTCTTACATTTAAATGTAGTCAAAACAAGATGGATCGTTAGCATGGTGTAGATGAATTCATTAATGTTGGATGAGGTCTACCGACCAGAATAGGAACACTGTTAGAATTTTTTTTTTTTTATCTTTTTCAGACTGACAAAGATCAACCGTTTTCACTTCTTTTATCATGTATTATTATAGTATACTTCTCACAAGAAATTGTGCAACAAGAGTGATTGATAATTTCTGAGTTCTGTTCATTATATTGAAGACAAATATTTTTCACTTGCTAACCAATCAAATTGCTGGAAAGTGGACAATTCCATGCGATGCTGTCATCTGAGGTTCGCAACAGAATGAAAATCATGTGGGGATCTGGGTTATAGTTTATTTCCTATACTGGTCGGAAAAGAGAACAAAATGGATGGTGTGGTGAGACTTGGTGACATGGTTGATTGCATGTCATTGTACCCTGATCACTGGTTTGTTTGATTCAGAGTAGCTTATTTACAGTCCTCCGTCACATAACTGAAATGTTGCTGAGTGCGGCATTAAACAACAACAGATTGTAGCAGTATGAACTATCTCAGTATCAGTGTCCCTCTGAAAGGTCGGGTGGTATGTATTGAAGTATGTCTCTATGTGACCAGGACAAGGAGAGTGTGCTGCGTGTGATGAAGTCGGTGGACAAGGCTAATGGCTACGTGTTCGGGGACACGGAGGAGAGGAACATCCAGTCTCTGCTCTCCTGTGCTGTGGGGGCGGAGTTTGAATACGACAAGATCAAAGATGTCAGGGAGAAGTACATGGACGTTGACGCCAAGACAGAAGATCAAGATGACTCTTCATGACAATGGGATCGATTTGTTATTTCGGGGTTCAAGTGCTGTCAAGTCTGTTTGTTATACCCATGAAGTGGATTGTGTATGTCATTGTAGAATGGGTCTTTAGCAACCCATGCTTGCCGTAAATGGCGACTATGCTTGTCGTAGTGACGATTAACGGGATCAGGTAGTCAGGCTTGCTGACTTGGTTGATGCATGTCATTGTATCCCAATTGCGTGGATTGATGCTTATGATGTCAATCACTGGAATGTCTGGTCCAGACTCGATGATTTACAGATCGCCGTCATATAGCTGGAATATTGCTGAATGCAGCGTTAAACAACAAACAAACTAAACCAAAACCATGTGGTACAGAGGTGGACACAGTTCTTGAAATTGAGAATTCTTAACTTCGGTATGTGTGTGAGTCAAATCAGACAGTCAGACAAGGATCGTGAGAAAACTGATAACTTATTATCTCAGTAATACAAAATAGTCTTTGGGGGGTTCATGTTGAAGTCAATATGTCATACTGTTGTTTACTTGTATGAGATGCATTCCAGGCTGCTATATACGGTATATATAAACACATTGACGTACTTAGATTAATCAAATATTCCTCGATGCACAGCATTATCCAGCATGCACTCGTTATCAGGCAAGCCAGAACTACAACATGAACTTGTTTCGCTGTTGGGTTGAGAAATATGGACTCGTCCACCGTTTAGGGTACTGGGTACCTTTCTGTATTCTGATTTTGTCTAGGATACATATCTGTAGTACATATCTGTAGTACGAGTACAGCTTGTATGTGTATTACGGCTCGTACCTGTGCCGACAACGGCCCCTTCAGTCTGGTTAACATGGTGACTTGTGAATGGGAAAGTGTGTTAATAAAAATGATCGTGACCCCTGTAGAACCGAACAACTTATCCTGGCATACTCTGGATGAGGGTCCTGATGGTAACCCTGAGGGTCTGAGTCTTAAGCCATTCTTAAGACACAGGTCTATTCCACAAAGTGATAGAAGCGCTAAGGTGATCACAACTCCCATACGTTATCACAGACTTACAACTCTCGTAGCACTACGATTGATTTGTGGAACAGGCCCCTGACTGGATGGTCCTGTTTGTGAGGCTCTACAGCGTGCATTCTTGTTTGAGATCTTATATTTTTATACAAACTCATCGTATATGTAAAAAATATTTCAAGATGCTACAATTTGTTTCTGTTTTATTTGATCAAGTAACAACAAAGAAAGTGTGACAACAAGACCACACACAGTTAAAAAACACCAATTTGGTAACCATGGTAACAAGTTGGAATATTTTGGGATTCTTTATACTTGCATATATATAAGCATTCTGTACAATAAATACATAAAAATGTACAAGAATATAAATTGAGGTATTGCCATGGTAACACAAGAAGAGCTTTGACACAACCTCAGACTTTTTATGACCAACAAAGCAATCTACATGGCAAAATACATTAATTAAAAAAATATCTAACTACAAATATCACACATACAAACACAACAGATTAGAAATGAAGAGTTTCTTTCTGAAACCAAACCATAAATAACTGATTCTTTGTAAGGATTGAAGTGACAGTGCACAGGGATATTTGACTTGATTGTTGTGTAGTACTGTTCTCACTAGTTTAAACTGAGCAGGGAAGGTTGTAACACTGACCATCCTGGTGTTTTCATGCCGCAGTCAACATGGAAACAAAGAGCTTCAAGGAACATGTGAAAAATTTGAAATGACCCAGGGATTTATCTAGACCTCCGACGAGGCCGGTATTTTGCCCAAACTGTGCAGCAGATGTCAGTATAATTTACCTTATTGGAATTAAAATGTCCCAATTCATGCTGTATAGTGATAACTAATGTTACGGCTTTGTGGAGGTGACTTGTATTTCACTTACCAATTGGAGAAATTGGATTTCTTCCCCAAGTTACCAAGTTACTAAGTTTGGAAAAATCCATGAGTGAACAAAATGTGACAAATACTCGGTTGAACATGTTGAAGGCTTGGATTTATAACTCCAGAGAATGCAGGCAGCTGTCTTCTGTTTTTAAGGATATCTCTCTCAGCCCTTTACTGATGGATCAGTAGATGTTACAGGGAATACAAAATCGCCTGTAAATCTCAGGGATAGCACATATTCCTGTCATTTGTCTTTTAAGATTCTGTCCTTTTGTCACGCACAGGAATTGAGTAAGTGAGTGAATTAAATTATGATGCATCAGCATTTTTTAAGGTAGTTTATTTAAAGAAATGCTTATAATAACAGGGGAAGAATTCTAGCTGATGAAATGCAGAATAAACAAGAACAATATTATTCAAGGGAATATGTTTGAAGACATTATGAGATGCGTACTACAATTAAATGTGCCCTAAAGGAGAAAGAAAGAATATTATAATAAAATTTCATTTTAGAGAATGAGTAGTAAAATATTACTGTATCAGGTAATAGGAATAATTCCTAACAATTTCAGTGATGATGTATGTATATTCCCTGAGTGAATCAGGCATTGAACATAATCCCTGAAATATTTCACATATTCCCTGTTTAAATACTTTCCTGTAACATATACACTACACAAAAGATGTCACATGACTACAGTTACTCGTCATGCCAAAGCAGTTAAGAACACCTGATGCCATGCCATGCCATGACAGATTAACATTAGTCAGATGAAATAAGCAGGCGTTCTGTAACTTCTTTTGAGTAGTATACAAACAGCTCTACAGGACACTTTTTTTTGTGGATAACAACTTCCTATATTCTTTGGACCGCCTCAGGGGTCTAGTGGTAGAGCGTCCGCCCGGAGAGCGGAAGATCCGGGGTTCGATCCCCGACCGCGTCATACCAAAAGACGTTAAAAGATGGTACTTGTTGTTACCCTGTCTGGCGCTCGGCATTAAGGGGCTAAAACAAGGACCGATCGGCTCGGAGTCAGTATACCGTGTCTGAGTGGGGTATTCATGTTAAACTGCGGCATGGTATCTCAGTGAGCTAGCACTATAAATCGGCATCAGTTCGGACTTGTACAAGCAGACACACACACACGTGCATGCACGTCGCTATATTAGTGCAATAATCTTGGACGCCACCTTAAACCCAATTTCACCTCACCTTTGGAACAACGTTTCAGAGCTTGAACTTGTCCCTTCATCTTTCATTCACCGGATGAAGTGGCAAGTTGAAGCTCAGAAACGTTGTTACAAAGAATAAAAGAAGTTGTTATCCATAATAAAGTGTCATGTTTTCCCTTCTTCTAAACGCCTATTAAAGACTACATACAAGTCAACCACAACACAGGCACTTGAGTGCCCGACGGACCTCTCTACAGCACAGCCAACAGAGTGGGACAAGGAAGGACTTCGCAAGGACAAGCCACATTGTCAGCTGGCTAATCATGTGCAGCTGGACACACTTCTGATGGGTAGGACAGGGGTAGGAGATGGTAGCAAACTCCAGGACGAAGTATGGCGTGTACAAGGCGACAGTGATGAAGATTGCCGAAATGGCGTCAAGAGGTACCTGGATGTGCTCACCATAGAACAGCAGATTTCGGGACAGGTATCCAGGAAGATGGACATACACCATCATGATGGTTGATGCTAAGATGCATAATAACTGTGGGAAGTAACTGAAAATCACGTACAGGTGGGCCGATGTTTCATCCCTCACAACCCTGGTACATGTAAGCACAGATGAGTTACGGGGGGAAGTGGCTCCAAAGTGCAGTGGCACAAGTGTTATTATGGACAGTAGCCAGATAACGAAACCAAGAACCATTGGCATGATGACCTCGGCTTTGTTAGGAGCGTAATGGTGGTGTGACGTGATTCTGTGGATGTAGAAGACGTTGATGAGGAAGAGGCCGAGACACGTGACTGACGGGACTAGGGACGTCCGGAACAGCGTCAAGGTGTTGAAGGTATGGCAGGAGAAGATCCAGTCATGCCTGAAGGTGACGTCCAGAAGGAGTGGACACACCAGAAGCCCCATGAGGAGGTCTCCAACAGCAACATTCAGGATGAGAAGGTGTTTGGTAGACTGCCTGAGGACCGGGGAGATGGTGATGAGGAGTATCAACAGCACGTTGAAAACAATTATGAGGAAGGTGAACAGCGTGAGGAGTCCTTGACCTTCATACTTCTCTGTGCCCCCCAACAGCATCTGAAACGACAATATTAATTTAAGGCCAGGCTTTTTTTGAAAACTTGGTTCATGACCTGCTGATTCCAAAAAAAATTAAATGTGAAAAAAACAAAACAGTAACACCTCACCCACCCACCCACCCTCCTCCCGGCACTTGGGATAAAGTGTATAAAACAAAGACTGGTCGGCTCAGAGTTGGTCCTGTGGCTTAGTAGGGTATGTGTAGCATGTATCCTCGTTGGCTAGCACTATAGCACAAGCAACCACACACAAATGCATGCACGTCAGTATATTAGTGCAATAATCTTTAATGCGACGTTGAACCCAACTTCGCACATGGGCGCGGACAAGAACTAAAATGTTAGAATGTGCTTAATGCGCCAAATCCACAGTCCGCTTCCACACCCCATTATGTTTTGCCTCTATTGTCTTATACATCAGAGTGAAGTACAAGTATCCTGTGCAATGACAATCCTTGTTTGCATTTTATTACCCGTACCCAGCCAGCCCTCTCGCCGTCCTAATTCCACGTCAGTAATTGTGAGCACATTTATGCTTCTACCGCTTGTATTACAATGGGCGACAGTTCCCACAAACACGCCAGAGTTTGCCAACTGTAGCAGTCAGTGCCAGGAATTCTGGAGCATTCCGACTCTACTGTATGGGGTTGACGACCCGCGTTGACGCTGATGGATGTTAGAGTATGTTACAACGCCGGGTCCCCGAAGGGGGTGCGTGATTCGTGTATTGCTTTCCGTGTTCTGGACAAATGGTTGTTACCAAATGATTACTTCAAAGTGTGTTTGTGTGGAGGTACGTTTGAAGAATGTAGAGCCCAGGAACATGGTGTAGATTACACGAGACATCCAGGAAGACCGAGTGCACGTGCACCGACATATGAAAAGCGATTCACCTTCAGTCGAAAAAATGTATTCCATGTGTGAAATTCCGAGTCATTCTAACGTGCATTTGTTGGAATTTTTTTTTAGTTTTTAGGGGGGGGGGGGGGGGAGGGATATGTTATAGGCAGTTTAATTATCATAGAGAGGATTTTCAGATTTTTTACCCCTCCATTTTAAAAATGCTGGATCCGCCCTTGGTGTGTACGGCGGATTCTGGCGCAGACACCCAGAGTCACATGTGGTCCCTGGTTTATGATGTTGGCGCCAGACCCCGAACGTAGCTTACGTCACTTGGGGTATTCCTCGAGCGAAAACAACTGAGAGGGACCAGGCTCGGGTCATTTCACAGTCCAAGTGGCATTCAAGTCGTTCAAAAACTGTGTCCGTCACATGAATTTTCATCATGACAATAAATCCCACCATCAAACCCTCCCTTCAAAGCGGCTTTAATCTCACTCACTCACTCACTCACTCACTCACTCACTCACTCACACCTCATGGAATCGACGGACTCGGCCTTTCGCCTGTTCCACATCCCTAACATATATGACCTTTCCATTGACCGACTTGGCCTAAAAGCCCAGTGTAAAGATCAACATCCGGGCTGAAAGATTATTTAATGAACATGTATCAGCATTCTATAGCTTTTAGAGGTTCCATCTTCTTTCTATTTGTCATATAACCGTTATCAAGAACCTTGATGATTGTGTTTCTAGTGAAATGGTTTAATAGCGCTTTGAACACGCAATGTTTAAATATAATCACGGCGTGTCAGTTTGATGATGGAGAGTAACAAAAATTGCGCATAAGTCGAACCCACGAATATGGCAAATTTGGTGTGACGCCAGTCCCGGATTTATACAAAGGGATTTGAACCCAGATTCCGGCGCAGCTGACGGATGCACAATCAAATATGGTGTTTATTAATACTACTGGGCCGCCGTGCCCCGATCCAAACAGTGTGGTGCAGTAGGAGTGAGTGAGTGAGTATTGTTTTACGCCGCTTTTAGCAATATTCCAGCAATATCACGGCGGGGGACACCAGAAATGGGCTTCACACATTGTACCCATGACGGGAATCGAACCCGGGTCTTCGGCGTGACGAGCGAACGCGTTAACCACTAGGCTACCCGACCGCCCCGTGGTGCAGTAGGAAGTGACTAAACTAATCGTGTCGGTCACTGTCGTCTGCTCGAGATACACGCACGTGCATATATACACTGCCAAGTAGATCTTGGAAGGATTTCCCGTCAAGTCAAAAAAACCTCACGATAGTGCTGCCATAGACAGTGAAAACACTGGATGTGTTTTTGAATATTCCGTAGACACTTGCGACTGTCAGAAAGCAGGTGATCTGTCAGTCTCAGACGTGTTTAATTACGGGTCTAGTCGTGCAAATGGCAAGCGTTTTTCAGTGGTTTCTGGCGACGTTGATAGGTTCACTAGCCCCGAATAAGGATACTTTCTATGTAGTTACGGCTGTGACATTTCTGGGATCACATTATTTTGATAAACCATATTTGCCAGTTTACCTATGTCAGTACGTATTACCAATAATTTGGTACCTCTGAATCTCAGGGGATCACAGAGCGGATTAAACCATCAGGACCCCATCTGGAAGTACAGACTACACTGATGACATGGCGGTTACAATGTGTGACCTGACTGAGTGTGTCCCGACGGCGGGATTCAGTGCTCATGCTATCAACCACTGGCCTAGACTCGACAAGTGACTACTTATGGTGTTGCCAACTGAGGGGTAAAACAACATTACCTCACTCACTCTAAACATTCAGTTCACAACAAACTACGTCACATGTGTATTGCTTAACGTCGCTCCCGCAATTTTCCAGCTATTATCTGTAATAATCGAGTCTGGACAAGACAATCCAGTGATTGACATTGTAAGCATCTATCTACACAGTTGGGGTATGTCACATGCGTACTGAAGACCAATTACAATTACCTGTTTCCCTTCAACAGCCGTAGTAGCTGGAATATTGCTGAGTGCGGCGTTTAACAACAAACAAACCCTTCAACATACAATGAGTTCGGAGCGTGTTAGTGAACAACAAATACGATGTACAATGTGTGTCACTGTTGGTACAGTTTCCCTGGTCTCTGTTAAGGTTTGTTTCAAAAACGAGTATGTACTTAACATCCATATTTTATATGTTCAATGTAATTGTACCCCTTGAAAACCCGGGTTAGAATTGGTCTTCAACAACCCATGCTTGTCCTAATAGGTGACTAACGGGACCGAATGGTCAGCCTCACTGACTTGGTTGATGCATGTCACCGTATCCCAAATGCGTAGATCGATGATCATGATGTCAATCACTGGATTGTCTGGTCCAGACTCGATTATTACAGACAGCCGTCGTTTAGCTGTAATATTGTGCTGAATGCAACAAACAAACCAAACCAAAACCATGTGGTACAGAGGTGGACACAAGAGTTCTTGAAATTGAGAATTCTTAACTTCGGTATGTGTGTGAGTCAAATCAGACACTCAGACGAGGATCATGAGAATACTGAAAACTTATTATCTCAGTAATACAAAATAGTGTATGGGGGGTTCATGTTGAAGTCAATAGATCTAGTATTTAGAACTTGTTTGGATATTTTGATAAAATAATGTATTTTGGTTAAATATTATACTGAAAAATGTGTTTTTAATAAACCTGCACTTTATGGCAATTAAGTAAATCATGTGTGTTTCCAAAAGGCTGTAGGTAAAAACAAAACAACGTTGCATATGTGATGTTCTGGTCACAAGAGGCGACTAACGGGATCGGGTGGTCAGGCTCGCTGACTTGGCTGATGAATGTCATCGTATCCCAATGACGTGGAACGATGCTCAATCACTGGATTGTCTCGTCCAGGCTCGATTATTTACAGACCGCCGTAATATAGCTGGAATATTGCTGAGTGCGGCGTTAAACAACAACCAAACAATGTAAATGTGTATGTATATATGCATCAACGTGCCAAAATGTACGTTCTCTTTGTATACCCTGTCCCAAGATGATACAATACTGAACAATTAATATTCTGTTTCCAGGGGACAGAGTACGGACACAACATGGATGACCCAGCGTACAATTGTACAGTACAAATAGAGTCCACCTACCTGTTGGTATTGAGGCCCCGCTGGGTAAGACACAAACATCGCGAGGTGATCTCGAGACAACATGTCGGTACTTCTGTACAGACGTCTAGCAAGGAGAATCTGACTTGAGTAAGCGAAGGTCTTGTGCCACGACACCAGCCGATTGTCAGTGCGGGGACAAAGTAGTTCTGTAGACAGCAGTGTGGCAGCCAGCCGACTGCAGTGCAATACTATCGTAAATATACCTGGGTGTAGTTTCCTTTCTTTGTTTGTTGTTACATGGGACACGCAATGATACATATACTGATACAAAAAATATAGGTACACGTAAGAATGTTGCAGAAAAGGTTTACAGCGTCGTTTAATACACATTTTTTGTTCGTTTGCTTGTTTATTTGTTGATTAACGCGCACTCAGCAATATTCAAGCTGTATGACGGCGGTCTGTAAATAATCGAGTCTGGACGAGACAATCCAGTGATTGAGCATCGTTCCACGCAATTGGGATACGATGACATGCATCAACCAAGTCAGCCAGCCTGACCACCCGATCCCGTTAGTCGCCTCTGACGACAAGCATAGTCGCCGTTTACAGCAAGCATGGGTTGCTAAAGATCTATTCTAACCGGGATCTTCAAATTTTTTATGTAGCAGGATGGTTGGGTAGTCTAGTGGTAAAAGCGTTTGCTCAGCATTCCACCCGGGTTCGATCCCCAAATGGGTACATTATGTAAAGACCATACATTCTTCAAATGCTCCGCTTTGTAGAGGCTGGGATATTGCTTCAGAGGGGTGTCAGAACGACATAAACTCACCATCTTCCCGAGGCAAGGGAGTAAACTGAATATACTTTGGTTGGACTAACGAGTCTATGCATAGTCCAATCAAAATTGCGCAACGAAATAGACATCCGGTTCATAAACAACATGGCGACTGCCGTGCAGATTTCCGTCGGTTGCAGGATTTGTAAAACATGATTACCGTCAAATAGGCGTTGACAAATAATTAATCAGCGTGCTCGAGTGATTTGATGCACTACAATGAAGATCTTGATTTATCAATCAGATCGTCTTGACTGGGCACCGCCATTTTGTTTGTAGCAAATGTCAGTGATACGAGAGGTGGAATCTAACTGGTCAAAAGCAGGGACATAGAAGGGACATAACTCATTATAGCCACTTGTGGCGCTACTATAGACACGAAATTCCAGCCTAGTTCGGCAAGGGTGGAAACTTGTACAGTCAGTTAAGTCCCTTGTCTCCGGAAGATTAAACTCACTCACTCACTCATCTTTTCGGTACATAGTATGGGATGTCAAACATCATGCTTTTGTGTTTGCTTATTTTTGTCCATCAGAATACATTATTCGGATATTGACTTCAGGTGTTGTACCACACAGTCACGCTAGTAAATCGACAGGGAAATGTGAGTCGCTTCAATACCAGTGTCTGTATGTTCTGTAGATTGTCTGGTCCAGACTCGATTATTTACAGACGGCCGTTATAAGTATGGAAGGACACGATATATAGATGAACAACTTCTTCATTACAAGTTAGGAGCGACGGTGAAGGTTTTAACACCCTTATGACGCAAGTAACAAGCAAGAAGTATTTCATCCATATATCTTATCTCTATTTGGTACTCCAACTTCGAAATGCCTTCAAAGAAGACGGCCTTGTAGTTTCAGGGTGATTCCGCAAATGCAAAACGTTAACGACGGACAGAGGACGGACAGCGCGACTATCTAAGCTCACTTGACGTTCAGTCAGATGAGCTTAAAATGTGTCTCCTGATGGTTAATTATTTGCGTTGGTTTGTTATGGGCAACATCTGCTGACATGTTTACTCCATGACATATCCAAACTATGCTGGCCAATATGTTGACAAGTTTACACCATGACATATCCGAACTATGCTGGCCCATATGTTGACAAGTTTACTCCATGACATATCCAAACTATGCTGGCCAACATGTTGACAAGTTTACACCATGACATATCCAAACTATGCTGGCCAATATGTTGACAAGTTTACACCATGACATATCCGATCTATGCTGGCCCATATGTTGACAAGTTTACTCCATGACATATCCGATCTATGCTGGCCAATATCTTGTCTGGTTTACTCCATGACATATGCGAACGATGCTGGCCAATATGTTGACAAGTTTACTCCATGACATATGCGAACGATGCTGGCCAATATCTTGACTGGTTTACTCCATGACATATGCGAACGATGCTGGCCAATATGTTGACAAGTTTACTCCATGACATATGCGAACGATGCTGGCCAATATGTTGACAAGTTTACACCATGACATATCCAAACTATGCTGGCCAATATGTTGACAAGTTTACTCCATGACATATCCGAACCGGTCTGGACAACACGTTGACCAGACCAGTTTCCCAAATGACATTTCGAAACTCACACTGACTTTTAATCCTAGAAATAGGATTATCTTTTATAAAAATATACATCTACAAAATAAAATTCAAATGAAGCACAGTACAATCCTTAATTTCACCGAGAGCATAGGCAATCTAGACCTGTCAAATCATTCTAGACTTGAGTTGGCAGACAAATCGGAACTGTGCTCGGCCAATTTCATTAACATCAGATCTTAGTACACACGAATATCTGAGAACATCCCCTCACAGGTCACGTCAGAAAGACCTGAATGGGGTGATGACTATACACTCTTCAAAAAAAAAGAAACGCACAGTTAGATTTTTAGTAAATTTATTGTACCTAATAAAGTCGATATATTTAATTTAATATAATACAAATAGGAAATTTTGGGGCTCGATAGTCACAACTTCTCGTTGTACAAAGGCATTGAAAACTGTTCATTGTCATGTCACATTAGGCCACAAGGTTGCGCTGAAATCAGTATCTCGGCTCTGCATCTCCTCGGCACTGACTGGATAAGTGTACGAATTCTGTACTGCGGAATTCTGCGCCATTCTGCTTGTAACGCGTTGGCCAGATGTGGGAGTGTCTGCGGCGTGTTCTAACGTTGACGTACACTTTGATCGAGTTCATCCAAGAGGTGTTCGATTGGGTTGATATCTAGAGATCTCGACGGCCAGGACAAGACGTTAATGTTGGCATTATTAAGGCAGTCTACCGTGACACGAGCTGTGTGCGGCAGAGCATTGTCCTGTTGAAACCGCTCCCTCAATGATTGGTGAGGTTGAAGAATTTGATTCATGTAGCGATTTGCTGTCAAATTTCCCTGAACCACAACCAAGTCAGATCTCGTGGTGTAGGATATGCCCCCCTCCCCCCCCCCCCCCACACACACACACACACACACACTCATTTCGACGATGATAAACACGTTGTCTTCCATCTCGCCGGTGAAGAAGAAATCGCGACCACACTCGTTTCCAGTTTCTCAATTTCCAAAGCTGTAAGGTATGGCACCAGCGCAAGCGTCGCAATCGATGGATCTGTTGCAACGATAAATGGTCTTCTGGGTCGGATTCCAGCCTCGCGAAGATGGTTCCTGACAGTCTGGTCCGATATCCTCTTCAAACTAGGGATGCGTCCTGCAGTCTCCGTAGCTGTGACACTGCGATGACGTAGGTGGAACAGTCGAATGTAGCGATCCTTTGGTAACTATTGGTCGGCCGGTTCTCGGACGGTCTGCAGTGGAATTGAACTGTGTGTATCTGTCCCAAAGGCGGCAAATGGTGCTGTGGTGGACGTTGAAGTGGCGTGCAACAGGAGACTGCGATTCCCCTCTTTGGATACGTCCTATGGCGATGTTCCGATCGGCAGCGTTGAGTCTCGGTATTTTCGAACTTGAAAAATGTTGACAATTGAATGACAAATTATTGGCTTATGCTTGACGTGTTATAGCCACTACCACGAGTTACGAATGCCATAACTTCCACGTGCATTTTGCTTTACTGTTTTCCTCCATGACATTTTTGAACAAGTGTGAAAACAATGCCTTTTAAGACAGTGCAAATCGACAATGGCTGTGTTTTGACGCACCGTTTGTCGAATATCAGGCCACCAACATTTTCCAATAACATATATCAAATTTATATACCGGATTTTTTGTGTAGTCAGGTTCAATGAACTACATACTACCAGTCCGTTTCTTTTTTGAAGAGTGTATGTTAGCCAGTGTACTTCTTGACGTATCGTAACTATGCTGTTCTATATGTTGGCAAGTTTCACGCATGGCATATCGGAACTGTGCTATAGTTTTATATGTTGGTCAGTTTACTTCTCGTATAGGAATTAATTCTGTAATATATATGCACAAGCTCCCGTGTTCTGATGGCATGCAAAGGGGAGTAATTCCGCTGTTAATTACACGGCGCCAGGGGGTTGAGTAATTGTTGTAAAGAGTAACCTAACTTTTGAAAGAAACTCCCATATGTATAATGATATGCGTACAGACGAAATACGTTATTCGGCAACAATCATAACAGGGAGTCACGCCCTGTCCTAGACTGGTTTACCTGCCCTAGAGCGCATGCGGTCCTCACCTGCAGCCGCCAGTCTGTCTCTAACCGACCTATTTCCTAATACAGCATTTCGCTGCGGTGAAACGTTGGTCCATTTCCGTGAAGCTAGTATGTCCGTCGAGAGGGCCTATAGCTTATCGCTTTGCGGGAAACGTTAACCCAATTTCCTTGTAGCGAGATATAAGCATTTTTGGACAGTTTGACTAATTGACGTGTCAGGCTGCAGGAGTAAACATATTTCCATTTGGGAGGTGGTTCATGGTTAAAAATAACAAACGCAGTCACAACGTTGTGGGTTTCAATTTTAACAATTTAACACACTCAGCCAAGGCACACATTTGTTCAATTATTACGACAATCTTTGGGTATTGGGAAATTTGTTCTGACCCAGAATCTTAACGGGCTTTTCATACGCAAGGTTAATTGGGTGTACACAATTCGCATGCTTACATTCCAGGGACCAGTTGAACAGCTCATCATCAGGGTTTGGAATCTCTCTGTCGGTGCGCAGAATCCTGTCCAGTCTGTTCAGGAATTCAGTGACAACCATGTTTAAATCCCCAGCATAAGACTCCACAGTTTTGGTCTTCAGCATGTGTCTGTCCACCACTCACCTCAGAGCATGCCAGGCCTCGCCCTCGCTGAATAGAGAGATGTATATGTAACAAGTGCTGACCCTATAGTACACGTGTAGTTGCAGGAAAATAGGGTGTCTTTCACTCTGAAATTAGGGGGCTAAGTTGTCTTTGTCGACCGAATTCTCTGTGCAACGTTGCGAACGTTATGATGGCCATAATCCTATAATTGTGGGTTCCCAAATCGCCCTCATTAAGTTACTGGGTTTGACATCACATACCGTGCTCGTGGGATTTACCAATGTGGTAAACGTCTAAGACCTAAGGCAACAAATTTCAGTTTAGAATGAAACTAGATGCTGGGGCAACAAGACTACGTCCTGGTGGCAATATCCAGCCTTATAGGATATAAACGTCCAATAGGTTCATTAACTTCAACAACAGTCTTTCAACAACCTTTCTTAGACCCGAATTGTTCCTGTGCTCGTGCCAAATGTCGACCGGTATGCGGGATGGATATTTCCCATCCTGCCTCAGTAGCGATTCCACGGCGTCCACATCCGTCAGGAACACAGCATCTAGGATCCCTAGTTTCTCGCGAAAGATTGGTCCATACGTCTCATGACGTTCTTGGATGGATTCATGCAGCCGTGATGCATTTCTCAAAGCGTGGAACAGCGTCCCGATTATGGGCCTAGGCTGGGAATCCGGGGTGATAAGTGATCTTCTCACGAAAGCTGGTCTTGATGTAATGTCAGATGAAATGTGAGATGAGACAGGCTTGCGCCTGCTCCACTTACATAGTCTAAATAGCTTCCAGCACTTTCCACACAGTGCTTTACCAGTCTTGTGTCACTTCAATACCACAGACTATTCCACATTTTTCTGAAATTCTTGATACCCATTCATGCTATTCCGGACTTTTACAGATAATTCAACCATCTAAATATGATAACTTCCTCATTACTGCTTACATGAAATACTTCTACATTCCTGACAACTAATCATTGTCTATAAAATGCAATGAACTTCTACTGAATTTCAACAGAAACAATATAATAAAGTTACAGTCATTGGTTAACAATAAACTACACTGCCATATAACACTCCCATTGAGTTCTATGTCAATGTAGGTAATATATGGAACTGTGCCATATTGCTGGCCATGTCAATAACTTGTCAAGTCGTAAATGTTACAGTTTCTGAAGTGCCTTAACCAATATACCACAAAATCATTTTCCAGACTTCTAACACCACACAGATGACACTGTATGAAGTTGCAAAGAATCCTCAGGTTCAGAGGAGACTTCTTGAGGAAGTGAACAGAGTTGTGCCCCCTGGCGAGCAGCCAACTGCAGAACACCTGAAAGATATGCATTACGTGAAGGCGGTTATTAAAGAAACTCTAAGGTGAGAGGGCTGGTTTTGTCAATATTTTCACCAGGGCATTATATATTCGTATTCATAAATTCTGTACCAGCATGACAGCGGTGGGGACTCGATTGGTCCAGCCATTTAAGGCGCCTTAACGTCACCGTGTAGAGCTGTGTCCCATGACCTATTCACTCTGAATACGACCCATGGTGTATCAACTTCCACCGTCCCGAGGCAAGGGAGTTGACTGACTAGAAGTGTTGTTTCCATTCTTGCAATGGGCGGTCGGGTAGCCAAGTGGTTAAAGCGTTTGCTCGTCACGCCGAAGACCCGGGTTCGAATCCCGACATGGGTATAATGCGTGAAGCCCATTTCTGGTGTCCCCCGCCGTGATATTGCTGGAATATTGCTTAAAGCGGCGTAAAACCAATTTCACTCACTCACAATTCCACTCTTGCCGAACCAAACTGGAATTTTTGACATCAATAATACATTATATATTTATTAATGTAATATGGTTGTATCAATAGTTCATTTTGTAATATCAATAATTCAACTTTTTACATTGACCGATCCATTGATTGTTCAGATTAGGAGTGTTATATCAGCAGAATGTCATGTTTAGCTTTTTAAATGGCAAAATGTCTTGAAATATATTATGTAAATAGCTTCGTAATAATTCTCACACAAGCACTGTGAAATATATCCATGAAGTTAAGCGGGTAGCCTATTAAATGTGGCATGTACAAAGAAGTATATTAATGATATTACAAGTTGGAATGTTAGATATCGGTAAATACGTTTCTGAAATTTCCTATCTAAAAATGATTTAGTGATATCCAAAATCACTCAATATCAAAGTGGTGATATCAGTAACTGAATTATTGAGGTCATAAAATGGTGAATAAATAATATAACGACACCTCAAATGGTCGTGGGCGCCATTGTGGTAAACGTCCTCATGCTTCACTTCTAGGGATTTTTCACATTAAACTAACTCGCCGTGTCACAACTACAGTTCAGCGGATCCCTGCAGGCCAAAGGGCTCTGACTCCTTAGACTACTGAGCCTTATGTGTTTCCATGTTAAGACCTCTTCATCTTTCAACATATCCTCTGCATGGTGTCATATTGCAGGATGTACCCTATTGGCGTCGTTGTTTTTCGGAAACTTCAAGCAGGATGCCACCATTCTTTGTTACAATATACCAAAAGGGGTGATCAGTCTATTTTTGCATCTATGTCCTGTACGACCGGGATTAGAGCTGGTCTTCTACAACCCGTCAGGCCCTCTGACTTTGCTCTCTAACTTGGTTGATGCATGTCATCGTATCCCAATTGCGTAGATTGATGTTCATAATGTCAATCACTGGATTGTATGCCTCAAACTCGATTATTTACAACCTGCCGTCATTTAGCTGGAATATTGCTGAGTGTGGCGTTAAACAAGCAAACAGATGTTAAGATTTAATTAATCACGGAGAAACAGATTATAAATGAGGAACAATCTAGGTGACCTTGGTCCTATTTTTGTCATCAAAGAATTTCCTCTGGCCCACGTAACTCAAATCAAGGTCATAGGTCAATTGCGCAAACAAGAAATGTAACATTTATATTTTTATGTAAATTTGTTTAATATCAAATTACAAATAGATAAGTGAATAGTTAATGTGTCAAAATAACACGACAATTTTGTCTTCCTCCATAGGGTAATATAAGACCGTCAGTTTCATTATTTCATCCAAGCAATATTCAGTTCCGCGTGAACCTTGATCCGATGGAAGCACTAACACTCTTGTAACGCCCATACCTTTACACAATACCACTACCACTCTCTCAATACAGGTGCCCATAGGTGTGCATCTCTACGTGGTGGGACGTCACCCTCAATACTACGACCACCCGGACGAGCTCCGACGAGAACGCTGGCTCAGAGAGGAAGACAAGAGCAGGATCCACCCATTCGCCTGGCTGCCGTTCGGATTCGGACCTCATTGTACATTGGTGTTTTACTTCAGAAAAGAATCTACTGCCAGGTCTAATATAAATTACAACTCTCACCCACACGTGAGTGAGTGAGTTGGGTGAGTTGGGTGAGTTGGGTGGGAGGGTGAGTTGGGTTTAACGCCGCTTTGAACAGTATTTCAGTTGTATCACGGCGCGTCAGCTTAATGTGGGAGGAAAGCCCGAAGTGATGCAGGTCTCAGATGTCTGCCACTTTGGTGAAACCCACAGGCATGGTTATGGTGCTGACAAACGTCGAACATGATCGGGCCGAACCAGCATTCGAACCCATGATCATAGATTTCTGGTGTGCTTAAGGGACGCAACTCTGCACAACGAGTTGCGGCGCCGTAGATGACCACCATAAAGATTTATGATATTTATTATCTTAAGAAATATAATGCCTGAACCAATCAGCCGTATCACAATGGGGCGGTTGACAGTTGGTATCAAACTTCAGTTCAGTTACATGCTTGTCGTAAGAGGCGACTAACGGGATCGGGTGGTCAGGCTCGCTGACTTGGTTGATGCGTGTCACCGTATCCCAATTGCGTGGATCGATGCTCATGATGTCAATCACAGGATTGTCTTGTCCAGACTCGATTATTTTCAGACCGCTGTCATTTAGCTGTAAAATTGCTGAGTGAGGTTCACTCACTAACCCGTCATGTATATACACATGGGAAAAGGGTAAGCACACACGTGCACACACAGAGAACACATATACACACAGAGATACATACACGCACATTTCTTTTTTCATATATCCTGAAATACCATGTATGTTTGGGAAATATCTACATATGACCTTGACCTCACTTTCATAAGTACCTAAGATACCTCAGATACCTGCTGAAGGGTTAGGACAAGACAGAGAGTAGGTTACAATACTGTGTGTTGTCATAGTAGCCACGAAACAATTACAACACATGTAAAAGATACTGGTGTCTCTATTTCAATATGAAATAGGGCGGTCGGGTAGCCTAGTGGTTAAAGCGTTCGCTCGTCACGCCGAAGACCCGGGTTTGATTCCCGACATGGGTACAATGTGTGAAGCCCATTTCTGGTGTCCCCGCCGTGATATTGCTGGAATATTGCTAAAAGCGGCGTAAAACCCTACTCACTCACTCACTCACTCACTCACTCACTCCCACTCAATATGAAATACTTTGTAACAAAACATTTCAGTTCTTAAAAAATATAATACAGCATACGAATATTTAAATCTCATTTTTTATCTGGAATATACAGAAAGTGGTGCTTATTTTAATTCATGTTTCTCTTCATGGTTCTCAAAAGAATTAGAGATTTTTCTTATTTGAAACCATATAAAGTATATTGATCTCCTCAAATTATTTTGTCCATTTACACAGTCACAGCAGTCTTTAGGTGCAGATACAGTCTTGGTATTACAAATCCCTTCCCCTTTGACGCGACACCTGTGGACAGAGATAAGCTGTCAAGGACATCGTGACTCAGCCAGTTCCCCGTGTAAATATCTAGGCCTGTCCTAGCCAAGTCACCTCACACTCAATACATACTCGTTTAATGTAAACAATTTTAGTCAAAATCGTTTCATAATTTGTTAATCTAACGATTAATTACAGATTCTTTCTTATCAAACAAATCTCCGTAAATCAAAGCCCTCATGCGAACATCATCCAATATATACAGGGGAACTCCTCCAAGGGTTATATACTCACAGGCGGACTTAGCCTATTTATAATCGGCACTCACCTTGAATGGTTTACCCAAGCAGGCAACCATACGTCCGCTCTTTCTCGGACACAGTTCTTGATGGACACAGTACTCACTGCCACACTGCCACAAATAGTTTCTGATAACCTCACGACGCGCTTGTTAACCACGTGACCTTCTGTTGTGATAATGGCCGAACAGTGTACATAGGTATTGCGAAACTGGGTCATAGTATGTGTGACACAGCTAGTTGATTCGTTTAGCTAACCTGTTGAAAGTGAACCGACAAAGAAAAACGGGGGAACATTTTCCTTCCCACAGGCCAGGATGTCAATGTGTGCTTGGACAGCTAGAGCACGAGGCGGAGTGTTTCGGACAGCCCTGCTGGCGTTGAGGCGTTACAAGGCCACTGCAGCGTCTATTCAGCCTAAAGATGGCGGCGTGAAACCTTTCTCAGCTCTTCCGGGACCAAGAGGTTTGCCCATAATCGGTACGCTGTTCCACTCTATGAGAAATGCATCACGACTTCATGAATCCATCCAAGAACGTCATGAGACGTATGGACCAATCTTTCGCGAGAAACTAGGGATCCTAGATGCTGTGTTCTTGACGGATGTGGACGCCGTGGAATCGCTACTGAGGCAGGATGGGAAATATCCATCCCGTATGCAGGTCGACATTTGGCACGAGTACAGGAACAATTCGGGTCTAAGAAAGGGACTTTTGTTGAAGTATATACATTTTTTGACTTTTGTATGTGCGGATCTGTCTTTAGGTTAAGTGAATGAGTGAACTTGGCTTTACGCCGCTATTAGCAATATTCCAGCAATATCACGGCGGGGGACACCAAAAATAGGCTTCTCGCATTGTACCCATGATGGGAATCGAACTCGGGCCTTCGGTGTGACGAGCGAACGCTTTATCCACTCGGCGTAATCTTGTCCCACCATTCAGTTTCATTCAAAATTGAAATTTGTTGTTTTGGAAATTTAGAGTTAATAATTGAGTTGGTTTTAACGCCGATTGGAACAGAATTTCAGTTATATCAAGACGTGTCAGCTTGATGCTTTGGCAAAGCTCAACGATGTGCAGTGCAGGCCTGAGAAGGTTACGACTTTAGTGAAACCCTAGACGCTAAACACGAGCACGGACATGGTGATGTAACATCCAGAAACATGTTCAGGGCGAATCTTGGATTGGAACCCACGATCACAGGATTCTGACAAGAATAAGGGACGCAACTCTGCACAGCATATTGCAGCGACAATGACAGCTAAGCTCCTTAAAGTCAAAGTTGTCATGCGTACATATTAGTGATTCATACTATGTTCCTGCAACTACACGTATACTGTAGGGTCAGCACTTGTTACATATACATCTCTCTATTCAGCGAGGGCGAGGCCTGGCATGCTCTGAGGCGAGTGGTGGACAGACACATGCTGAAGACCAAAACTGTGGAATCTTATGCTGGGGATTTAAACATGATTGTCACTGAATTCCTGAACAGACTGAACAGGATTCTGCCCTCCGACAGACAGATTCCAAACCCTGACGAGGAGCTGTTCAACTGGTCCCTGGAATGTAAGAATATGAATTGTGTAGACCCAATTAATCTTGTGTATGAAAAGCCCGTTAAGATTCTGGGTCAGAATTTATTTTCCAGTCCCAAAAGGTTGTCATAATAATTGACCAAATATGTGACTTAGCTGAATGTTTTCTGGTATTCGGTATCCAAGCTTGTCTTTCTATAGATATTCTGGTTACGTATAGGTATTCTGTATCCAAGCTTGTCTTTCTATAGATGTTCTGGTTACGTATAGGTATTCTGTATCCAAGCTTGTCTTTCTATAGATGTTCTGGTTACGTATCGGTATTCTGTATCCAAGCTTGTCTTTCTATAGATGTTCTGGTTACGTATAGGTATTCTGTATCCAAGCTTGTCTTTCTATAGATGTTCTGGTTACGTATCGGTATTCTGTATCCAAGCTTGTCTTTCTATAGATGTTCTGGTTACGTATAGGTATTCTGTATCCACGCGTGTTTTTCTATAGATGTTCTGGTTACGTATATGTATTCTGTATCCGAGCTTGTCTTTCTATAGATGTTCTGGTTACGTATAGGTACTCTGTATCCAAGCTTGTCTTTCTATAGATGTTCTGGTTACGTATAGGTATTCTGTATCCAAGCTTGTCTTTCTATAGATGTTCTGGTTACGTATAGGTATTCTGTATCCAAGCTTGTCTTTCTATAGATGTTCTGGTTACGTATAGGTACTCTGTATCCAAGCTTGTCTTTCTATAGATGTTCTGGTTACGTATAGGTATTCTGTATCCACGCGTGTTTTTCTATAGATGTTCTGGTTACGTATAGGTATTCTGTATCCAAGCTTGTCTTTCTATAGATGTTCTGGTTACGTATAGGTATTCTGTATCCAAGCTTGTCTTTCTATAGATGTTCTGGTTACGTATCGGTATTCTGTATCCAAGCTTGTCTTTCTATAGATGTTCTGGTTACGTATAGGTATTTTGTATCCAAGCTTGTCTTTCTATAGATGTTCTGGTTACGTATAGGTATTCTGTATCCAAGCTTGTCTTTCTATAGATGTTCTGGTTATGTATAGGTACTCTGTGTCCAAGCTTGTCTTTCTATAGATGTTCTGGTTACGTATAGGCATTCTGTATCCAAGCTTGTCTTTCTATAGATGTTCTGGTTACGTATAGGTATTCTGTATCCAAGCTTGTCTTTCTATAGATGTTCTGGTTACGTATCGGTATTCTGTATCCAAGCTTGTCTTTCTATAGATGTTCTGGTTACGTATAGGTATTTTGTATCCAAGCTTGTCTTTCTATAGATGTTCTGGTTACGTATAGGTATTCTGTATCCAAGCTTGTCTTTCTATAGATGTTCTGGTTACGTATAGGTATTCTGTATCCAAGCTTGTCTCTCTATAGATGTTCTGGTTACGTATAGGTATTCTGTATCCAAGCTTGTCTCTCTATAGATGTTCTGGTTACGTATCGGTATTCTGTATCCAAGCTTGTCTTTCTATGGATGTTCTGGTTACGTATAGGTATTCTGTATCCAAGCTTGTCTTTCTATAGATGTTCTGGTTACGTATAGGTATTCTGTATCCAAGCTTGTCTCTCTATAGATGTTCTGGTTACTATAGGCATTCTGTATCCAAGCTTATCTTTCTATAGATGTTCTGGTTACGTATAGGTATTCTGTATCCAAGCTTGTGTCTCTATGGAGGTTCTGGTTACGTATAGGTATTCTGTATCCAAGCTTGTCTTTCTATAGATATTCTGGTTACGTATAGGTATTCTGTATCCAAGCTTGTGTCTCTATAGAGGTTCTGATTACCTATGAGGTTCTGGTTAAAAAAAGCCCCGTGCGTGCAGTGCTCGTCCTCCAAGAGGGTTTTGGCTAAGATTAGCCTTTTGAGCTTCCCGTGCTTGGCCCTCTGGGGCTTCGCTCTTTTGTTAATTCAGTATATTTACCCAAAATAAAAGCACACGCGTGCTAACCTCTATTTATGTGACTGTGCACATCTCAACATTGGAATATCTGTCTCTTTTTATTCGAATCGGCAGTGCGATAACTGTATTGTTGTTACTGAAGATTAATATTCTTTCCACAGCCATCAGCAGAATTGTGTACGAGAAGAAACTGGGGTGTCTGTTAGATGAGAAGAGCAAGGATGCACAGGATTTCATCAATAGTGCTCACGAAATCTTTGAGACAAGCAGGCAACTCGCGTTTCTTCCTCCTAGTGTTTCTAAAGTGATGATGCCGAAGCTTTACAAGCAACACATGACAGCCTGGGATACCTCATACCGTGTGGGTGAGTTCGACTCACCATCTTGCCTACCTCATACCGTGTGGGTGAGTTCGACTCACCATCTTGCATACTTCATACTGTTTTGGTAAGTTAGTCTGCTTCAGTTACCCATCCTTGCCGTAAAAGGCGACTATGCTTGCCGTAAGAGGCAACTAACGGGATCGGGTGAATTGGTTGATGCATGGCATCGTATCCCAATTGCATGGATCGATGCTCATGATATCAATCACTGGCTTGTCTGGTTATTTACAGACCGCCTTTATATAGCTGGAACATATCTGGATGCGGCCTTAAAGAACAATCAAGAAAAGTGAGTCTGACTCACGGTCTTGTATTCATCATACTGTGCGGGTTAGTACTCTTGTTTTACACTGGTTAAAGTGTTGAGTACAAGCCCTTGCTAAGATATTGCTTGAACGTGACTAAAAGTGGCATATATCCCTACTTGCGGTCTCATTGCCCGTTAGAGTGACTGGACTTTAGTGTATAACTGGACCATGACTGACAGAAATGCATAAATCTAAATTTGCACATTTTACGCCATCAGTTCTCAATTTGGACTTGTACACGTGATTGTTAAGGTGAACACTTGACTGTCGTATCTGTTTGTGTAGGGTGGCACCGGCAGGACCTCCTCTGTGATTAATATTCCTTTGGTTTGTTTGTTGTTTAACGCCGCATTCAGCAATATTCCAGCTATATGACGTCGGTCTGTAAATAATCAAGTTTGGACCAGACAATCCAGTGATTGGGAAACGATGACATGCATCAACCAAGTCAGAGAGCCTGACCAATCGATCCCGTTAGTCGCCTCTTACGACAAGCATAGTCGTCTTTTCCGGCAAGCATGGGTTGCTGAAGACCTATTCTACTACGGATCTCAAGGGCAGGTAATGTAGGATCGCCAGAATCACGGGAACGGATCCAGGGGTACGTGTAGGTTCATCGAAATGCGAGCCCTGGAGATACAGAGGTTCCGTGCGGAGTAGGACACCTTACCTTTCTGCGAACACATGGTGTCATCACTACTTGATAGTAATCCGGCATGGAACAACTGACTCTGCTTTTAGCTGAGATTTCTTATGATTATGAGACCGGCGCCGTGGTCTAGACGTAGAGCGTCCGCCCGGAGAGCGGAAGGTCCGGGGTTCGATCCCCGGCCGCGTCATACCAAAAGACGTTAAAAGATGGTACTTGTTGTTACCCTGTCTGGCGCTCGGCATTAAGGGGCTAAAAAAGGACTGGTCGGCTCGGAGTCAGTATACTGTGTCTGAGTGGGGTATTCATGTTAAACTGCGGCATGGTATCTCAGTGGGCTAGCACTATAAATCGGCATCAGTCCGGACTAGTACAAGCAGCCACACACACACGCGTGCATGCACGTCGCTATATAAGTGCAATAATCTTGGACGCGACGTTAAACCCAATCTCACCTCACCTCACCTCTTATGATTATGGAAAGGGTTTGTCACCTTTATTTCAGCCAAAGCTGTAATCGATGAGACAATTGAGAGGATTAAGCACAAGGCTGAGACGGGTGAAGGAGACGTTGGTTTCATCACCCACTTCCTGAGGGAGAACATGGACCTCAAGGACCTGTACGTCAACGTGTGGGAGCTGATGGCTGCTGCCGTGGATACGGTAAGTCCTTGGTTCCTAGCAAATCATTACCTATCTCGAAGTTTCGATAAAGACGAGCTAACGTTACAGTTCCGAGAGAATCCATGTTGCCACACTGTTTGTCTCGAATGACTTATAACTCGACGTATTTTCGGCAGGTTCCATGACTTCGAGTTTCAATATACTTAGGATAACATACTTAAAGAGGCTGTGCAAAGTGTTGATATCTCATATAAGAAATAAACGACTCGTGGTAATTTTTTGTCGTACAATAAAGACTGAAGTGATTTATTGTACGATTAACAATGACCAAGAGTCCTTTCTTTCTTACATATTGCGAACCTTGACCTCATTTGACCTCAAATGTCCAAGATGACAGCGATACCTGTTGTATAGTTGGTACAACAACACTGTATGCTTCTCTAGGTGATCACCAGCCATACGGAGTCATATCCCGTGATACAGTGTAGTCAAATAGTTATTATATAAAACATGTAATCTGATTATGAATTTCGGTTTCAGCATGGTAATACTATGTAAAGATAAACAAATGTGTTGCAGCAGACCATTGTCACACGATAAATGTTTTAAAATGGCTAATGTTATGGAAGTATGTAAGTATTAGCATTTCTCCAGATTGTATTCATGTGCATACCGAATGCTGCTTGTATAATAAGATCGATTTTATGAGGGATGAATTAAAGCACACAGTGTCAAGTCATTGAATTAATACTCTGCAACTCGATGTGCAGAGTTGCATCCCTTAGTTGTACCATGATCTGCTGATCGTGGGTTCTAATCACGTACCCATGTTCTTGGGTTTCACCAATGAAGTTAAGATTCGACGTCACTTGGAGTTTTCCACGCAGATAAAATTAACACATCGAGATGCGCGTTTAAACCAACTCCTTCTCTCACTGTTCAGACTTCATACACTACACTGATGATACTAAGCGAGATATCACGTTGCCCACGTGCACAGGACGCCATCTATGAAGAAATCACACGAGTTGTCCCCCCTGGCGAGCAGCCAACTGCAGATCACCTGAAGGAAATGCATTACATCAAGGCGGTCATCAAGGAGACGCTCAGGTACCTGCCAATGACGTCATAGCAGTCTTCTATACATTCTAAAAGGAGATGTACAACTGTGACGTGATATTTCTAACTATAATGAAGTCACCTTTGGACCAGACCTCGTCCAGCAAATGTTTGTAAGACGCAAGACTCAACTTGTACCGGCTCCTGCTTAGTGTAGTAATGTAGACATTAGACATTATCAATAGTACCCTATCCGCGCATCTCTCTCTCTATCTATCTATCTATCTATCTATCTCTCTCTCTCTCCCTCTCTCTCTCTCTCTCTCTCTCTCTCTCTCTCTTGCTAAGACGTATCAAACTATGAGTTCCATGTTAGGTTTCACCTCTGTATCAGCCTAACCATCTTTTTCCATGACAATGAACGTCATTACTATTTTCTCTACATAACAAGTCTTCTTCTTAATGAAATCAGTGGAAAGGATTTATTTTGAAGTTTACATTTACTGAAGTGACAGAGGGCCTTTAGGATAGTATATAAATCAAATGAGGTTCATCTCCTTTATATCCATTAGGGACCTACAATTTCATGTTACGTAATTTAGCTCCGGTCTTACCAGAGAAAGTAACTGTTCCCTGGACATGCCAGGTGTCTCGACAAGAATACATTCTGCACGCCGTCCTTCAGAAGGTAAACATGTATGTATGTATGATTCTTGACACCTTGTATTCCAGGTTGTACCCGACTGTTTGCGGCATCAGCAGGATCATGCAGAACGACATTGTACTTATGAATTACAGTATTCCTAAAGGGGTAGGTGTTCATAGTTGGAGGCAAGTCTTGAAAACATGACTCGAAAACGCCAACTCACTCTCGCGTTCATAGTGGCTTAATGAACTGATTAAAACAAACCGATTATATACAAGAGTGTTGGGGTATAGGTCCCCGGGGGCATCTTCCCGAGGCAAGAGAGTTAACTGACTTTAAGAGTCCAGTTTCCACCCTTGCCGAACTTGGCTGGAATTACTGGGCTCGATCGTTGCGCCACCAGTGGCTATATAGAGAATACTACACTCATTCTCGTTAGATACCATTTTTACGAAACGAGTGGACTTTCTATGGTATCTGACCGAGCGAAAGCGAGGTCAGATACCATAGAAAGTTCACGAGTTTCGTAAAAATGGTATCTAACGAGAATGAGTGTGGTATTTTATTTATTACCCACGTTAAATATATATTTAAGTGTAAATACATAACAACTTTCGTTTGTTGACAGACCAAACTGTAACCGGTTGCAAAATCTGGTTGCGTATGAATATTGATATATGCCCAAATATGGGCATTGTTGACATTTCTATGCATACGCATTAACAACATGCGCCTGCAGTTGTGTTTGCAAAGAAAACAGCACCAACGCTTAAGATCCTTTTGGAAGAAATTCTTCAACTTATGAGAATTCAAGCGCCATGTTGTTAGTACGAAGGACACCTATAAGAAAATTTGAAAAGTCACATAAGCGCCGCGCTTTGAATATCGGACCAACAGTCGGTCACTCGCACTGCCGCCACTGTGCAATCAAAATGATTCGGTTTCCTTGATCTATCAGCTGAATTTATATCATGTTCGTACCATTTTGGAAGAGGGAAATCAGAGTGTTCGCCAAAGACATTCATGTTAACTGTACCACCCTACTGAAAACGTGAAAATCAACAAACTCAAGTCTGCTTGCATGTCAGTGACAGCTTCGAACGATCGAAGGGCAAGGTCACCAGGTCATTTGTATCTGGTCGTGCAGTCGTGTACGTTCATTCATGAACAACATCTCCCGAAACACCGGCACAAAATACGCTTCGAAGGGACACTGATGGCACAACCGGATCATCCCAAGTAAGTCTAGATATCTGTCCGGATAGTTAAACAGACTTCATTTCACCACGCTTATCCTTTTACGTTAAATCAAATTGAAAGTTGCGAAAGTGGTCGGGTACGTGTGTCACGCTCATGGGGGACCCTCGCTCTATTTATATAACTCGATTAGATATCTGTATGTAATGTCTGTAGAAGCTAGAATGCAAACCGAATTTGATGCGTGTGACTATTTTGTTGGGTTTAATAAAGTGTTTGTAAATATCTCTCCTTCTCATTATTAATTTCTTCAGTTCTGCCCTGTAGGCTAGTTGCAAAATGAATGACGTCTCGCGATTTTTTATGAATGAAAAAAAGTAGTCCCTGTGTGACAGAGGTCACGGTTATCCAATCAAAACGAATAAAACAAGGTCAACCGTGTACGACACACGTGTGACGTACTGATTTTGTATCTTACCACCTGTATCTTCACCACGTGGGTAATAATAATACCAATTACGTCACACGTGTGTCGTACACGGTTGACCTTGTTTTATTCGTTTTGATTGGATAACCGTGACCTCTGTCACACCGGGACTACTTTTTTCATTCATAAAAATCGCGAGACGTCATTCCTTTTGCAACCACAAGGTAGAACTGAAGAAATTAATGAGAACGAGAGATATTTACAAACACTTTATTAAACCAAACAAAATAGTCACAGGCATCAAGTTCAGTTTGCATTCTATATAAGTTATGCATACAGCTTCTACAAACATTATATAATCGAGCGATATCCATTTACAATGTACGACTACCGATCAATAGAGCGAGGGTCCCCATGAGCGTGACGCACCCGACCACTTTCGCAACTTTCAATTTGATTTAACGTAAAGGGATAAGCGTTGTGAAATGAAGTATGTTTAAACTATCTGGACAGATATTTAGCCTTACTTGGGATGATCCGGTTGTGCCATCAGTGTCCCCTTCGAAGCGTATTTTGTGGCGCTGTTTCGGGAGATGTTGTTCATGAATGAACGTACACGACTGCACTACCATATCACCAACAGTGAACAGTTCTGATAAAAATCATTCGAAAGCTCCGTGGAAGTGTGCCTGACTTCTGATTTTGTGGCCCCAAACATCCCCTTGCCCTTCGATCGTTCGAAGCTGTCACTGACATGCAAGCAGACTTGAGTTTGTTGATTTTCACGTCTTCAGTTTAGGGTGGTACAGTTAACATGAATGTCTTTGGCGAACACTCTGATTTCCCTCTTCCAAAATGGTACGATGATATAAATTCTGCTGATAGATCAAGGAAACCGAACTATATTGATTGCACAGACGGGACACTGGCAGTGCGAGTGACCGACTGTTTGTCCAAAGCGCGGCGCTAATGTGACTTTTCAAATTTTCATAAAGGTGTCCTTCGTACTAACAACATGGCGCTTGAATTACCTTAAGTTGGAGAATTTCGTCCATAAGGATCTTGAGCGTCGGTGCTGTTTTGTTTGCAAACATAACTGCAGGGGCATGTTGTTTATGCGTATGCATAGACATGTCAACAATGCCCATATTTGGGCATATATCAATATTCATGCGCAACCAGATTTTGCAACCGGTTTCAGTTTGGTCGGTCAACGAACGAAAGTTGTTATGTATTTACACTTAAATATATATTTAATGTGGGTAATAAATAAAATACCACACTCATTCTCGTTAGATACCATTTTTACGAAACTCATGAACTTTCTATGTTATCTGACCTCGCTTTCGCTCGGTCAGATACCATAGAAAGTCCACTCGTTTCGTAAAATGGTATCTAACGAGAATGAGTGTAGTATTCTCTATTTATTATGTCCCTCCTAAACCTCTCCTGTGGACAATCAGATTCCACCTCTCGTATCACTTGCGTTTGCTTCACACAAAATGGTGGCGCCCAGTCAGGACGATCTGATCGATAATCAAGATCTATATTGTGATAAAACGGGTCTTACATCGCGAAATGCATCAAATCACGTGAGCACCTTGATTAAAACCATGAAAAGATTTGGCAAATAATTGCTGACAACGAGTTGGCGGTGCACATACTTTGCAAATCCTGCAATCGATCGAAATCTGCACGACAGTTTACGAACCGGATTTTGATTTCGGTGCGCGATTTTGATTGGACTATGCATAGACTCGTTAGTCCAGACAAAATGTTACTCCATAATACCAGCCTAGTTTGGCAAGGGTGGAAACTGGACTTTTTAAGTCAGTTAACTCTCTTGCCTCGGGAAGATGCCCCGGGGGACGCTGTGATGTCAACGAGAGGTAGCCTTGTGGTTAAAGCCTTCACTCATCACACCAAATACCCCGGTTCTGTTATCAACATGGGTACAATCCGTGAAGTCCACGTGTAGAGTCCCCGACCGTGATGTAACTGAAATTGTGCTGAGAGCAGCGTTGGGACAAAACCCTGCCGCTTGACAACTTAGAGATGCACCAAACATGACTCGGCTTCATTACACAACACATCGCTTTGTTACTTTTAATATCTTTCATGTGAACGTAGACCAAGATATGGATGGACCCGTACACCATTGGACGTCTGGGATGTTACTACGACGACCCCGACACGTTCCTCCCTGAACGCTGGCTCCGAGCTACCAGGACCACAAAGACGAACCCTTTTGCGTGGCTGCCGTTTGGGTTTGGAGTCCGATCATGTGTGGGTCAGTATCCTCCATCTGACATCTTCAGGGTCCAGTTTGCCATCCGGGCATATTTCCGATGCAAAATACTAAAATGAAAAGGAAACACAATGCGATTACTCTGTCCGCGAGTACGTTCGAGGATATTTCCACATTCTAATGATCCGTAAATACGCGGATTCATGAAAACAATATCTACCATGTACCTAGCTTTAATTTGCCAATATAAACAATTCTTTCAAAACTTTTTCAACCAAAGACGCTGACCGTTTAAGCATGAACAAATTATGCTTTTTAATGCGAAATATTTTTATCATAAGATTTACTGAACAATGCGATTATTCCCGGTACGTCATCTTTCTGTTAAGCACACACGGATTTATTAAAACAATATCCGACAGTACATAGCCTTACACTTGCTCATGTAGATAATGTTGTATAACTTCTTACAGCTAAATACGCCGACCTGTTAAACAATATATCAGCATGTATACACAATTCTGTTTCGCGAAAACGTTTCAACACATGATGTTAAGCACCTGTGCTGCTACACTGATCTCCCGGGGCGTAGGGGTTGGCTCGTGGTTAAACCTGGCATACATTCCCAACACGGGTACAACTCGTGAAGCCTATTTCTGATGTCACGGGCCCTGATATTGCTGGAATATTGCTGAAGCGGCGTTAAACCATACTCACTCACTCACTTCGTCTTCTGGCTCCTTGCTATAGGACTGAGGCGGCCGATGTGGCGTCATTCTTTAATTCACTCTCTCACTCTCATCCTTTATCATCTCCCGGGGGCGGTCGGGTAGCCTAGTGGTTAAAGCGTTCGCTCGTCACGCCGAAGACCCGGGTTCGATTCCCGACATGGATACAATGTGTGAAGCCCATTTCTGGTGTCCCCCGCCGTGATATTGCTGGAATATTGCTAAAAGCGGCGTAATACCATACTCACTCACTCACCCGACTATATGGCTCACTCATATTTAAGTATTTCTCAACGAATGCAGTTCCAATTGTCCAACGAACACTCCGACGTGACTATCATGCTAAACGGTTGAAATGTATTTGAGTTTTGACAGCACGACACACATATCTGTGGACATTAAACTGTCGTGGACAGCTTGTTGAATTACACTTGTGCAAAGTTAGGCCAGTCTACATCAAGTCAACATAAGTTGGTCGAAAAAGATATTAATTTTGATTTTCTAATCTACTGGGTTTCTTTTCTTGACAGCTATGTTATCGGAGATTCTTAATGCTAATGTGTGGGTTTACAAAACATATGTATTTGCAGGCCGGCGCGTTGCTGAACTCGAGATGCAACTCTTAGTCTCACAGGTGAGCTTGTTCAGAGAATATATGGAGTGTGTGTGCTGCCAAGTTAATTAATGTGTGTAAATTTAAATAATTGTGGAGACGTGAAACCAAGGTTGAGCAGTGGTTAAAGTATTGATAGAATTGTCAATATTCAAAAATAAAACTACATTTTCCATAATGTACAAGGAATCTGCTCTTAGGAATCTGTATATACCAACAGCAGTTTTTGACAATCAAGGCTTATTGATTAGCTTCATCAAATATTAGTCATCTAAGAATTGCCAAAGTTAAATTTGAGTTAAAATATTTTGTTTTACATTTGTTTATGGTAATATTATTTGGAGCCATTTTGTCATCATTAACTACATTGTCACGTGACCAATCATAATATCCAATCATGCATAACATAAAAATTATATTTAACATGAACTGTTTGAAATGTTCGTTGCTATTCCCGAGTGTTTCAGTATATGAAATATCTTTGAGGCATATGTCCAGCTTAAATTAATTTTAAGAAGTCTTATTTTAATTACGATGTAAAAAATACCCTGCCTGACGAGGGATATACACACGTCAATCGCTCCGATATAGCTTCAACATATCCACATATCTTCATATACCAGTAAATGTACCCGAGAAGATTCATTTCTTGCCGTAAAATGCGAGCATGCTTTCGTAAGCGACGACTAACGGGATCGGTTATCAGGCTCGCTGACTTTTGATGCATGTCATCGTATCCCATTTGTGTAGATCGATGCTCATGGATTGTCTGGTCCAGACTTGATTTTTTACAGACCGCTGCCATATAGCTGGAATATTGCTGAGTGCGGCGTAAAACAACCAACAGCCACACGTATAATGTGCACATATGGACTTAGTGGTCTTGTAAGGAATCAAAGATTTGTGAAATGCGTTCCGAGTACTTCTTTTCATTACACGTAATAAATAAGACAGTTTATATATTGTTTCCATATTTACAAGTGTAAACATATACTGCTTACGGGGATCTTCTTCTTTTCTTCCAATCACACATTTATGTTTCAGTTTGTGCGCAAGTTCAGACTAGAAGCCATTTCTAAAGAACCAGTCCCAATGAAGTTCGACCTCCTTCTACTACCAAAGGATCCTGTAAGAATCCGTCTCACAGAGAGAGATTCACTGTAGCCATAGAATGGTAACATACCCATTGTGACCTCTTGTGTAACCCCCGGAAAAGCCGAATGTCGACCGGAAAGAGGCGAGTGGTTACGAATGAAGCATCCACTTGTGCTGCTCATCTGTAAATGCGCCAACAAAAGCGGAACATTTGTCAAGCTCTGAATCCGATTCTTTTAAAAAGAGGATACCATCAATCGCTTGGTCAAATTCAACGTTAGGCTTCGTTTCCATGACAACCATATATCGAGACAACATATCCGCCATAAATGCAGAATTGCTAATGAAATTTACTTTCAGCTGTCCTTTTGAACTATATGCTCTGTGATTCCATAACTTTGCGATTGTTTTATCGAACATACACTGTACATCTGTGCCGTTTTTGAATATCTTACGAAGACAATTTACTTTTGGATTGTGTATACGTGATGATCTGAGGTTTACAGATGACACGCGTTGAAGAATGTGGAATTCGAACTCTGAATCAGAGAATCTTATCCCCCCAAGGGACACAGCTCACCACAGCGATAAAACTGGTCCCACCATGTGAGGAGTACACAGTGTGTTTTTCATATGTAGCATGGCCGGGTCTGTTTGATTACTGCCCATGGATAACACATTTAGAGTGTTGATATACCCATGAACAACACATTTAGAGTGTTGATATACCCATGAACAACACATTTAGAGTGTTGATATAGCTACCCATGAACAACACATTTAGAGTGTTGATATACCCATGAATAACACATTTAGGGTGTTGATATAGCTACCCATGAATAACACATTTAGAGTGTTGATATACCCATGAACAACACATTTAGAGTGTTGATATACCCATGAACAACACATTTAGAGTGTTGATATACCCATGAATAACACATTTAGGGTGTTGATATAGCTACCCATGAACAACACATTTAGAGTGTTGATATACCCATGAACAACACATTTAGAGTGTTGATATAGCTACACATGAATAACACATTTAGAGTGTTGATATACCCATGAACAACACATTTAGAGTGTTGATACACCCATGAATAACACATTTAGGGTGTTGATATAGCTACCCATGAATAACACATTTAGAGTGTTGATATACCCATGAACAACACATTTAGAGTGTTGATATACCCATGAACAACACATTTAGAGTGTTGATATACCCATGAACAACACATTTAGAGTGTTAATATACCCATGAACAACACATTTAGAGTGTTGATATACCCATAAACAACACATTTAGAGTGTTGATATAGCTACCCATGAACAACACATTTAGAATGTTGATATACCCATGAACAACACATTTAGAGTGTTGATATAGCTACCCATGAATAACACCTTAAGATTGTTGATATACCCATGAATAACACATTTAGAGTGTTGATATAGCTACCCATGAACAACACATATAGAGTGGGGATATAGCCATGAATAACACATTAGAGTGTTGATATAGCTACCCATGAACAACACATATAGAGTGGGGATATAGCTATATGTAAACGAGGGGGGTTCAGATGGTGGAGACCATCTGCATATGTTTCCATGACGAGAAGTAAAGCCCTGCGAGTTATTTGAATGGTAAAGGCGTAGCTGGCCTTGGAAACCATACGAGGAGGTTGAGTAAGACCTATAGGTTCGGCCTTGAAAACATGGATCTCGTGGTGCCTAATATTTCTTGAATGATAAACGAATGGTAAAAGCTGTTGTGTATTGTTGTATTTTATGTCCGTGCGCACGTGATAATGGTGGCTCGCCCGGCAAGTGATGTGCAACCTACCGAGGCTTATGGTGGCTCACCCGGCCAGTGAGATGCAGCACATCGAGGCTTATGGTGGCTCACCCGGCCAGTGATGTGCAACCAACCGAGGCTTATGGTGGCTCACCCGGCCAGTGAGATGCAGCACATCGAGGCTTATGGTGGATCACCCGGCCAGTGATGTGCAACCAACCGAGGCTTATGGTGGCTCACCCGGCCAGTAAGATGCAACCTACCGAGGCTTATGGTGGCTCACCCGCCCTCCGATTTGCAACCTACCGAGGCTTATGGTGGCTCACCCGGCCAGTGATGTACAACCTACCGAGGCTAATGGTGGCTCACCCGGCTAGTGATGTACAACCTACCGAGGCTTATAGTGGCTCAACCGGCCAGTGATGTACAACCTACCAAGGCTAATGGTGGCTCACCCGGCTAGTGATGTACAACCTACAAAGGCTAATAGTGGCTCACTCGGCCAGTGATGTGCAACCTACTAAGGCTAATAGTGGCTCACTCGGCGAGTGATGTGCAACCTACCGAGGCTTATGGTGGCTCAACCGGCCAGTGATGTGCAACCTACCGAGGCTTATAGTGGCTCAACCGGCCAGTGATGTACAACCTACCGTGGCTTATGGTGGCTCGCCCGGCCAGTGATGTTCAACCCTCCGAGGTTTATGGTGGCTCGCCCGGACAGTGAGATGCAACCTACTGAGGCTTATGGTGGCTCACCCGGCCAGTGATGTGCAACCTACCGAGGCTTATAGTGGCTCAACCGGCCAGTGATGTGCAACCTACCGAGGCTTATAGTGGCTCAACCGGCCAGTGATGTACAACCTACCGAGGCTTATGGTGGCTCATCCGGCCAGTGATGTGCAACCTACCGAGGCTTATGGTGGCTCGCCCGGCCAGTGATGTTCAACCTACCGAGGTTTATGGTGGCTCCCCGGCCAGTGATGTGCAACCTACCGAGGCTTATGGTGGCTCGCCTTGCCAGTGATGTGCAACCTTCCGAGGCTTATGGTGGCTCGCCCGGCCAGTGATGTGCAACCTACCGAGGCTTATGGTGGCTCACCCGGCCAGTGATGTTCAACCTACCGAGGCTTATGGTGGCTGTGATGACTGTCCGTATGTCCTTTTGTTATACCATGTGCATTTTTACGGGTACCCGAAAAGGTGTTTAGGGATTTTTCACTGTTGCACGTGCATCTTCCAAACCACCGAGTTGTGTTTCGGCGACTGTTTCAGCTTAGGAACATTTTGATAACGTTTGTAATTTCAACTCAAATCAGGTGAAGTTAGGCAGCGTTTTTGGATGGGTTACCGCGTTCGGGCAGTTTGGCTCCTGAGAGTTTCTAGGGCTTCGGTCCTGCCCCACACTGAATCACATGTAACACATGTGATGACTACATGAGAAAATGACTTTCTTCTAAATGCCAGCAGTGAATGGGTACCCGGTAGAATGTGATGGTTGTTAACCTTCTAGCGCCCGACAGGCAGCTTATGTTGTATACTCCCTAGGGAGCTGAGAATGATTGTTGAGCGCACAGTGATCCAGCTAGTGACCGACGTAATAGTTGCGCATTGAGCATGCCCCTGTGTGGTGTGGAAATATGCGCAATGTAAATGGGCTATTATAATTATTATTATTTCTTTTCCCCGCTAGTTTATCTTCAATACTCTAACATAGAATCAGTTCTGGAAAAGACAATATTCGTGCAGTTTGCAATATTTATTGACGTTATAAAAAGGATAACTGTGAACAGTGGAATTTAGTTTCCCAGGGAAACCAACTGGCAGGAATACTGCCCCTGTCTGGACTGATAAGGTCTCTTACTGACGACAAATGGCCTTGCGGAGGTGTCCTCCACTTAGTTAGACGTCCCAATAGTTAGACAGCTTATAACAACACTTTAAACGGTTGAGTGCACACTAATCCTTATGCTTGTTACCTCAGACTTTAAAATGGAATAGTCCAGATAAGATCTGACAAACAAAGCAAAGCAGCTTTAAATAGATACTTTAATATTACACTTAACATTCAATGACACTTTACATTTGATAAATTTTATACAGTTTGTAACACTTTGTGACAGTTTTTGGTAATGTACACTTTACATTTAATAACTTTTACAGTTTATTTATCCCAGGCGAAGCAAGTGTGCTAGGTGACAGAGGTCTGTTGAGTCGCTCTTGAACTTCTGTCCTCAGTTGTCGAAAAAGCCGGCCATAGGTTGTTGCTTGGCGATCTGGCAAAAGGGCGAACACTAGAGGGAAGGTGTTGGGACCAACTCTGGCATGAATGATGTATACTTGATCCCATAAACCTGGACATGCTGTGAAGGTACCATCCATGTAAAGGGTGTCAGCTTCCTGGAGGTCTTGTATCTGTTCTGCAGTGGAGAAAGCCAGGATCTTGTCATTCTGAACAGTAGAAAGGGACGTTCATCTGTTGTCTCTGACCATTTGTCTTCAATGTCTACTGCTGACCGCGACCTGGGTAACGCTGGAATGTAACGCCTGAACAAGAGCAAATGAACAGTTACACATATGTTACATGAAATATTGATAATGATTTCATTAACTTGAAATGTTTAAGAGCGAAACAAGTTATGTTGGACGTAAAAAAAAGAAGTAAATTCTAACCAAGTCAAAAATACGGGATGATATTTACCAGTAAAGTGCATTTTTTACGCTCTGAAATGATGGCATCGCTGGCATGTTGGGTTCATCTACTTGAGTGACTTGCTCCTCGTACAATGCCTGCATCTGTGTGGTTTCTTCTCGCGCTCTTTTACGAAGATTGCTGACAAAGTTCACTCTGGTTTCATCTTCAGGCGGATGTTATGTTCCGACTGATTGCAAAGAAAGTCACCGACAGTCGTACATTTCCCATTGCACGTCTTGACGACACATCTCCAATGTGTGCAGGTTTGCCCCTCTGGGTTTCTGTTGTAAATATATCCATCTAATATCAACTGCTCACTTCCACGCCGAGAGGTGAGGTACTCTACTTTCCTTAAACAAGCAATATCGATACTGATAATCATTTTTATTTGTTTGATGAGTAGATAATCTAAACTCAACTCCTTCAACTGATCATACAGTAAGACAATTAAGCTACTCCATAGTTTACATAGTTAATCTCATGCCTATTGAACGTGTGCTGAGAGTAAGGTAATTTAGGTTAATTAAACGAAATTATAACATATATACTCCCTAAACTGTGAGTCCCCTATCCCTACTCAGTACTTTAATCTAATTAGGACTGATCCATTACACCTGTAGGTATATTCCCTCTTTGCCGAAATAAACATGTCTAACAATTGGGACGTCTAACTAATGGGACGTCTAACTAATGGGATATAACCCTTGCGGACTCTGCTATGTGCAAGATGTTCAATAGTCAAAACACTAATGTTCACGATGTTCATTGAGGCCAATTAGGTCAATATACACAGGTTTATTTGTCTATTATCTGCTTATTCCATAAGTTGTTAATTGGATCTTGTATTTCGAGTTATGGAAGAAACAGTAATGTCTATGCATATTTATCCCAACGATGTGGTATAAGTAGCACATTTAGAGTGGAAGTAGCAATTTGTATTGACAAATGCTCATTATCGTAATACACGATGCTATTTTGAGGCACTGTTCATAATAATGCTGGCCATACATATTTACTTATTTATATTTATTTCCACAGACGTTAAGCTGGTATTATCAGCCATGTTAATGTAATGTAGAAGGAGGACTTTCCCATGAAGAATGTTCAGTGTAGTATTGCTGAATAATATTTCCAGGAATTGTTAATAATAATGCTGACTTGCAAATATTTATATCTCCAAGAGGAGGTGGGGACATGGGTGGCCCAGTCGTCTAAGGCGCCGCGATTCGCTGTGCAGAGTTGCGTCCCTTGGACACGCCAGAAACCTATGATTGTGGGTTCGAATCCCGGTTTGTCAGCACCATACCCGTGCTCGTGGGTTTCACCGAAGTGGTAAACGTCTGAGACCTGCATCACTTCGGGCTTTCCTCCCACATTAAGCTGACACGCCGCGATATAACTGGAATACTGTTAAAAGCGGTGTTAAACCCAACTCACTCACTCCAAGAGAAGGTGAACTTTACAATCAGCATATATAATGTAGAAATAGGCATTAACATTGAGCAGTGGTGAGTTGTACTAGTACTGTTTTCATGCTGAATACCTAGACACAATTGATCATTTGTACAAAAAAGTAAACTTAATACAATTTGGATGTGCCAGTCAGTTATATCAAACTAGAAATGATGTAGTTGTTTAACTAACTCCTGCTATCCATTATTCAATATAATTATTGTGGGGACATATTAACTGTTGGTGTTATACTGGCATACTGATGCGCAAAATGACATGTATAAATTGTACAAAGTGTCTTGTGATGTTTCCTTTGTTTTCCGTACCAAAGTGGTAAGTAGACGAGAGAGATATACTTGCACAAGTCTCTTAGGCAATAATTATTAATTACTTCATAATTCCTAGATTATAAACATAATATGAACAAGTTGTCCCTATAAAATACTTGCGTCCTGTCCGCTTATCTAGACTTGCCTAATAGAAGGATAGAACTACTATACACCTATGGAGTTATCGTTTAGTACAGCCTTGGAGCAAGACTTACAACAGAGAGTGGGGAGAGGCTTGAGGAATGGGAGACGGGCAACAGGAGCAAGCTCCCACTGTGTATATGAGCAATGGTCTCTGGTATAAACAAAAAGGTAACTCCAGCCACCTGCCCTCTCTCCCTTATCAGCAGATCCCAAATCTCCTGTCTACTTATCACATATATCTTGATAAACCAGTGTCAACAACTTGAAGCAAATTTCACCGTTGTTGGTCTTGTTAACCTGCCTTTTTCCTTAGTATCCACTTTTTCTCAATGACGGATTATGTCCGATTTTACAAATCAAAACAGATCGGGGGCGTGTTTAACAAAACGCGGTCCTAAATAGAGAGTATTATTTTGACTCTCTGCTATACATTGATAATTAAAGCGCTAAGATCGCTTTGTGGGCCGTGGTTCTCACAGTCTCGCAAGAAGAAGTACGGACAAAATAACTAGACTGGCTTCTACCTGTTGTGTGTGTCTGATAAAGAAAGTAGGTCAGGTACTTGTTCGCCTTACCGATCAACTGTCGATCTCAACCAGTTCATGCCCTGTGCTATATCAAGAGAAGGGGTCAGCCGAAATACGTTATACTATTTCATCATTCCATTAGCGTTTATATATCACTCTCCGTGCAACACCGACTACTGATGATGTAGCTGTCTCTACCGCGACCGCTGCTTGTTTGAGGTCACAAGTGTACACCACACGTAACTATAATGTTGTCGCGAGTCGCGTTCATCCATGTCCGACCCGGACATTCCACATCAGCCGTGTCTGTTTTGTGTCGATACAAGGGGACGTCTGCTCAAACTGACGATCATGCAGCAGACGTCAAACCGTTCTCGGCGCTGCCCGGGCCGAAGGGCTTGCCTGTTGTCGGTACCCTGTTCGACATCATGAAGAATTCCGCCCGGCTGAATGAAATGATTCAGAAACGTCACGAGACGTATGGACCTATCTACCGGGAAAAGATGGGGAGGATAGATGCCGTGTTTCTGACGGATGTGGAGGCGGTAGAGCAGCTGTTCCGACAAGAAGCAAAGTACCCAGTTCGAATCCAACTGGAACACTGGATTAAGTACAGGGAGGACAGGGGTTTCAATAAAGGCCTTGTCATGTCGTACGTATATTCATATATTCATCTTCGTTGTTGGGTATTGTATCTGTATATTGGGTATGAATTTCAAATTGTATGCCGCCTCTAATTTGTCATGTCATTAGCAAATTTTGGTAGTGATAAATGTCCTCTGATGTAAGTACCCGAGAGAGTTTACTTTGCCCAGAACACAATCTCATTAAAATCAGATGTTTACTCGATCTGACAAAAACACCTTTGAGGTCACGTCAGATGAACTTTCTAATCAGGCAATCAGCGAATATCTTATTTCTGTATTTCCAAAAATAGCGTAAATCGGCATATTCGAATTGGGAGTGATACAGGCTGCGTTTTATAAATTTATGTTTTGGATAATAAAATAACCTTATCGTTTCTGAGCGCCATGGCGTCTACACTCGAAGGATGTACGACCGAGGGAACTGCGTGTTCTATGTGGAATTTCTTTTTCTTCTGATTTTGAAATTTTCGATTGGTTGTGGTAGAGAAATTCAACCAAAAAGTTTTAGAAAGCTGACATGTAATTTAATTGGTTCAAAATTCCGTGTAATGTTCATCTTGATTGGGCTTTTAAACGTTGATCAGGTTCGTCTGACGTCAAATGACAATAATGATTTAATGATGACGGAGAGATGTATCGATTCGGAGTATAGCACTTTAAAAGGGACAAACCAAGAATCATACTCAGGGCCAATGTGGGATTCGAACCAAGACAGAATTCTGGGATGCCAAAGGGACATAAACGCTTGAGGCGACTGGCTCCATCTCTCGGCCCCTTTAATGTAAGAATTTTCTCTGTAATTTATTATAATATTATAATGATACAATACTGCTAATATGTGAGCTTAAGATTTCGGCCATACTCGTATGGTAACACATGTTCTACATTTCCTACGTTTCCAAGAAACACCGCAATGTGTTGGGTCCGATATTTACACTGCAGATCAGGTGAAGCTTGGCATTCCTTGAGGCGAGTGGTCGACCAGCATATGATGAAGATCAAGACAGTCGAGTCCTACACTGGAGAATTTAACAAGGTTGTTGTAGAGTTCTTGGACCGAGTGGGAAGAATTCGAACCTCGGACAAAGAGTTGCCTGCATTGAATAAGGAGCTATTCAACTGGTCTCTGGAATGTGAGTATTTGTATAACGTGTTCTGAGTAATGTAAATGTGTTCTGGAGCAAGAGTATTCTGACCATTTGGTTAGGTTTGAGAATACATTTGATTCTAAAGAAACGGATGCTTCATTGCCCAGAATGTACCTAAAAGGGACTATAGATGTGATTAGTTTAGAGAAATCAAGAAAACGAGTTAGTTCAGTTGGGTTGTCTATCGATAGATTACACAGTCTGTCATGGGTGGGACAAATCATTTCCCGATTCCACTGAAGATCCGGGGTAGAATAGGTCTTCAGCAACCCATGCTTGCCGTAAAAGGCGACTATGCTTGTCGTAAGAGGCGACAAACGGGATCGGCTGGTCAGACTCGCTGACTTGGCTGATGCATGTCATCGCATCCCAATTGCGTGGATCGATGCTTATGGTGTCAATCAATGGATTGTCTGGTCTAGACTCGATTATTTACAGACCGCCGTCATGTAGCTGGAATATTGCTGACTGCGTCGTAACACAACAAACTAACCAACCAACCAACCAACCCAATTCCACTGAACTTGTGTCCCATTGGTCATAACTGAACAGAGCAATTTCTTAATGTAGACAAGCGCGTCTCTTTCCCTTGATGATCGTCGATAATAATAGGACCCCACGTCTCCAGTGGGTGCGCAGAGGATGCACCCCGATAATGTTTAACAGCCGTGCTCGTGGTAAACGTCTGAGACCTGCATCACTTCGGGCTTTCCTCCCACATCAAGATGACACGCCGTGATGTAACGGGAATACTGTTCAAAGGGGCTCACTCACTGACTCATTCCTTATTGTGTCCACTATTTCCTAGATATCACTAGACCTTAAATTTGGTTTTAAAATAACCCCGATTCTGTTTCTAGGTTTAACAGCACCATACCCGAGTTCGTGGGTTTCACCAAAGTCTGAGACCTGCATCACTTCGGCTTTTCCTCCCACATCGAGATTACACGCTGTGATATTACTCACACGACTCATTCCCGTGTCCACTATTTCCTAGATATCCTTAGACCTTATATTTTGTTTAAAATTAACAAGAACAAGAAATATCCAGTTATTTCTCCAGCAGACCGATTTGCGTAACATTGCTGATCCGCCTCTCAATCGCGACATTTTCGCGTTTGTTTTCACGTGACGCGAGGATACATTGCTAAACTAATGACTCTTTGTGCACAGCTATCGCCCGTATCCTGTACGAGAAGAGACTGGGATGTCTGTCAGACAACAGGAGTGAGGATACCCAGGCTTTCATCCAGAGCTCTCATGACATCTTTGAGACAACCAGGAAAATATTCTTCCTTCCACCCAAACTGGCCCGGATCTTCATGCCGCGCACCTACAAACAGCATGACGCAGCGTGGGACGAGGGCTTCCGTGTTGGTAGGTCGCCAGCGACGCTTCCAAAATAAGCAGAGACCATCTGATAGATGGTCTCAGATAATAAGCAAGTCATATAGTCTTGACAAATATGGTTGCATCGATTTTATATACCTGCTATTTGTGCAGGTATACTATCCATGCGTCGTACTGCACACGGCACGTTGATTTGCATCGTTCATTAATTGGTTTGTGGACAATGTAAATGCAAAACTGACAGGTAGCATCGGTTTCGTCCAAATATTAATGCGCTGGCTGGATGCATTATAATATTTCTTAAACGTTAGAAATTATATGTGTCAAGTTCATATACTTGATGAAAATTTCATAAGAATTTGGGGATAGAGAAAGAATGTTCGGAAAGTGTATATTGTTTTTGCTAATGATTTCAATTCCATATCACAAGGCATGCATGTCTTGTTTACTTTTGGATTCCTTCTTATTAAAGTCACTCGATGTTTTCACTGTAAACTCTATATTTGTGTTTGTTTTTGTTTTTCTAGCCCACAAGATCATTGACGAGAGAATCAGGGAAATCAGGGAGACAAAGGAGGAAGGAGAACACGTGGGTTTCATCACCCACTTCCTGAAAGAGGACAGCATGTCGCTTAAGGATGTCTACGCCAACATCTCCGAACTCATGGGGGCAGCTGTAGACACGGTGAGTGGGTGAGTGAGTGGCATCTCAGAACCCATGGGATCTCTAGACACGGTGAGTGGGTGAGTGAGTGGCATCTCAGAACCCATGGGATCTCTAGACACAGTGAGTGTCATGAAAACCATGTGAGCTTATGGTGGGATCTGTTGTTTGTTGTCCGTAATGCGTCGTAAATATCTTCTGGGAATCCACTGGGCCAATGAAGCTGAACTTTCAAATGCTTGTTCCCACCAATAATGACATCCCAGTTTTGTCAAGAGGGTCAAATTCGATTTTTAATACAGCCGCCATATTCCAAACATATATGAATATCAATACTGTTGACATTGACATTGTTGACTATGTCTGTGGACTATATATCCAGATGGGTAACAGTGTTCTTGACTATTTTGGTATGTTATTCTTTACAGACGTCAAACACCGCTCAGATGTTGTTGTATGAGTTATCGAGACATCCACACGCACAGGAGGCCATCTTAGAGGAAATCACAAGAGTTGTCCCCCCTGGCGAGCAGCCAACTGCAGATCACCTGAAGGATATGCGTTACATCAAGGCGGCCATTAAGGAGACGCTCAGGTCTGTATCAATTACACACGCTTGTCATAGATTGCGTATGCAACCCTTGTGTGACTGTTGATATGCAGTGATGTGTGATGTTGGGGTGTGTGAATGCCATAACGAGGGTTACATCCATGATTTATACTGTTATGTATGGAATGCTGTAAAGGGTATGATTCCTTTATCGTCTGTCAGTTTTAGTTTTATTTGACTCATTTGTCTTGAACATACCCCAGACTAAGGCGAACCTTTTCTTGGAGTATCGCTTGTTGCGGGCGTTGGCTGGTGTTCAAGCTTTACACAACATCCCAGTCCCTTCTGTTTGTGTCATTTGACACACTAGGATGTGTCCCACCGCCACCTAACTGTTCTTTGAAACCCGCCTTGTTGTCTAGGTTGTACCCGACCGGAAGTGTGGTGATTCGAGTATTGCAACAGGACGCTGTCCTACTCGGCTATCGCGTGCCCAAGGAGGTAAGTGCGACAAACACTGTACGTTCGTTATATCGAAATTATGCTTAACACGAAGATACTTATTGATCTATATAATTATCATCTTCCCGAGGCAAAGGATTTGACTGACTCTAAAAGTCCAGTTACCACCCTTGCCGAATTAGGCTGGAATTCTTGGCTCGATCGTATTACGAGTTATGTCCATTCTATGCCCCTCCTATTGGCCAATCAGATTCCACCTCTCATATCACTTGCATTTGCTTCAAACAAATGGCGGCTCCCAGTCAAGACGATCTGGTCGATAGCAATAGCATGAAAAGATTTGGAGCATATCTGCCGACGCCCAGTTGACGGTATACATCCTTTGCAAATCCTGCAGTCGACCGAAATCTGCACGTTGAAATCCATGTTGTTCCCGAACCGAATGTCGATTTCGTTTTGCGATTTTGATTGGACTATGCATAGACTCGTTAGTCCAGCAAAAATATAACTTCATAATTTTATCCTAGTTCGGCAATTAAAACTGGACTTAAACATCGAGCGTTGTCCATGTAATCAAAGTATACCTTTCGTCCTGCATACAGTAATGGCGTTCTGGGCAGTTAAATATATACACTTCGATTTGAAGATATTGATTTTGTTCATATTTACAGACTGTGATGTGGATTGACCTCTACGGCTTCGGACGTCTACGACGTCACTACGAGGACCCCGACACATTCCGCCCTGAACGCTGGCTCCGAGCTACCAGGACAGTAAGCCCACAGCCTTTTTCCTGGCTGCCGTTTGGGTTCGGACCCAGGATGTGTGTCGGTGGGTAGTACTCTTTCTTTCTTACCTAGATCTATATCGGGTGTCAATTCAACATGCGTATGGACTTTTTCTTCAGGTATCAGTTTCACATTCTCACCGATTATTTCGGCAGATGTCAGTACCACGTGCGCGTTGGCCGTTTGGGTACATGTCAGTACCACGTGAACATTGACTATTTGGGCAGATGTCAGTACCACGTGCACATTGGTCATTTGGGTAGACGTCAGTACCACGCGAACATTGTCTATTTGGGCAGATGTCAGTACCACGTGCACATTGACTATTTGGGCAGGTATCAGTTCCACCTGCACATTGACTATTTCAGCTGGCGTTTATTGGCTATTTAATCAGTATAGTACAAATGAATAACCTGGTAACTCTATTACAGGCCGGCGAGTGGCAGAGCTCGAGATGCAGCTGTTGATATCCCAGGTGAGTTGGGAGGATCGGCGCCGTCAAACCTCAACTGCATTATTTGATAAAATGACAATATGTCTTTAGAACCAAGTACAACCATACTTCACCTCTATTAACTCTTCCAGCTGAGATGTGTCTTACTTACGTTCACGTTCACATTAATTTTCTGTCAAATATCTGAAGGTCTACTGTAACAATCTCTCATTTAGTCATTTTTGTTTCAGCTCGTTCGCAAATTCCAGATAGAGCCTGTATCAATGGAACCAGTCGAAATGAAGACGGACCTCCTACTATTGGCCAAAGATCCAATCAAAATCCGTCTTCACGAGAGAGACTAGACTCTAATTCTCCATAGTGCACGTCATACGAACACTTTGCAGTCTGGTGTAAGCACATGCACAGTGACGCTGGGGACTTTTTTGAAAAAACACGTCACTGAAAAAATCACCTATATACGTTGCAAATTCAGGAGTTATACTTTTGTTTTGTTATTGTATTGTTACTGACATGTATTAAGAGAAATCGTTGATATTAATTACATAGTTGAGTTACATTTATATTGTGGACAAGTAGCTCTATTTCACTGTAATATCCATTTATACTTTCTTATACATGTATTTGCCAAGGACCAACATGTTTGTTATAATGGTGCTCAATGCGTACGTGCACATATGAGGTGTTAACCACAAGACTCTTCGCGATATGACGCAACATGGATCACTAGGTAAAAAAAATCATGTAGATGACTTCACGATTTCATTGTTTGTAAATGTATTTCAATGTGGAAATTTATTATAATTTCGTTTTATCCTTTATATGCATAAATGCTTGAAAGACATTCTCATTGAAATTAGCATAAATATTCTGCATGACAAGCATATCTGATCACAATAGATTTTACTTCCTCTATCTTACTTTCCTCCAATAAATGCCTACCTCTAACAAAAGCCTGGTGTTGGCATTATATAGTAAAGTACTGTCGGAAATGCTAGAAAACTGCTTTTTGCTTGTTAAAAAGGGATATAATTTTTCAATGACTGTTGTTATTGAAATATCGAGTAACTACCGATCGACCTACCTGTGGTTTGAAGTATTTCAGTCACAAGGAGTCCTATCGACAAGTTTACAGGAGACAAATTCGAACGAAAACAGGAATTTATATGGCAATGATGACAGTCTGAAACGGACTATAGAAATATGCGCACATGACTCCGTTATATTGATAATAATGTAGTCTACATAAAACATCTAATCCACACACAAAAATAATTTTGAGAAAATTCCAGATGTGCATCTTCTAAAATGACAAAATAACGCTGCATTTGTATTGTTAACATTGCTCCCATGACGCACATTACATTACACTTGCATAGCCATAACCGCGGTACACGATATGGAGTCTGTACTGGGAAATGTATACAAGTTCTTTACACTTTAGAGAGATAGAGGGGAAACATTTATTAATTTAGATAGGGTGAATTACCGAACTGCCCAAGCTATATGGTTTTCAATTCATACCATCAAGTCTACGGTATAATAAATAAAACAAAACAGGTATTAGGGTGGTCTCAAAAACAAAACTGGGACGTAAAAGGATATTAGACAGCTTTGATACAGGGTAATTAGGCGTAAAGTGTACAAGCTTTATGAGCAGAAGGTAACCCTGGCTTGTAGTAGAATTTGGGAGGAAATTAACGATACAATTAATGTTTCCCGGACTGCACGAACTATTGCTCTCCAAGAGATGGGATTTCGATACACTACGTGTGGCGATGACCGAGCACTTTTCAGGGGGAAATATTCCATCCTGTCTAAGAGGTCACATTATCTCCGAACCATTCATAACTATCACAGTCAGGGCGTCCAGATAATTTACCTTGATGAATCATTCTACTCACTACATGTGGTTATCGGCAGATGGACAAAAAGAACCAATAGACCATCAGGTAAAGGTAATCGTGTAATTGTTTTGCACGCTGCAACACATGATATGGGGCTTATTGATGGATGTGTGCTAGTTTTCGAGGCGAAAAAGAAAACTGGTGATTTTCATAAGGAAATTATAGGAGGTGATGTGTTCATAGACTGGTTGGAACTTCAGCTATTGCCAACTTTAAACAACATCAGTGTCATTGTAATATATAACGCCAGTTAATATAACGTCCGGGAATCAGACACTGTCGCCCAAACCATGAGTAGTCTGAAGGCGACCATACAGGAATATTTGACATTGTCGACTTCAGACCATATGAAACGAATGTTCAACTGATAGAGAAAATTTGGCTGAATAAGAACCCTGTAAAGTACAGGACATATGTGCTGGCGGCACAACACGGTCACGTTGTCATACGTACGCCAGTCAGACATTGTGAGCTCAACCCTGTTGTGCCCATCTAAGCTAAGTGTAAAGGGTTCGTGGCAAGACATAACACAACATTCAAAAGTACAGATTCATATACGTCACCGGCGGAGATAAATGCAACCTCAAGAAATCAGCTGTAGAACAACAAATACTTCTGGAGTCCAAAACCGCAACCTTCCATTACTCATCCCATTTCATAGCTCTTAACTATTCCATCGTGTTTCCAAACAAATATAATGCAGTTCATATCCTTAATTGCTACCCCATCAACGCACATGTCAATTAAGTACAATAACAGCAATATTTTGAGACCACCCCAACTCGGTGACATTTGGACCTGTGAAAATGCACGGGACGGTGTGAGGTCATCACCTCGGGACAGGTGTTAGGTAATTGCCTCAGGTTATATGCCATTTTATACATGCATGACAACACGCGAATATTTTCTAAGTTGATAATCATTTTACCTGTAAAAGTACATTTTTAGGGTAATCACAGAGTCAATTAGGACAGGCTAGATTAGGGCAATTTGCGTTATTTTGATGTATGTTTTTTCAAAGTCCTATGACTCGTATTTATTAAATAAGGCCAGAAAAGCAGTTTTCTAGCATTTCCGACAGTACTTTAGCATTTTGTGTATACTGTTTTTGACCAGGTGATGAACAGGCATGAGGTAGCCCTGAAAAGTCGGAACAAACAAAGAAGAAGTCATCCAATCAATGGCTAGAACAGGTATAGCCTGTGGAAGTGCACAGATTCCACTTTCAACGCAGGCCTGGTGTGACCAACTGCGCCTTTTTAAAGACTACTCGTGTTTGTTCCAAAGTTCACGATAACAACTACTGGAGTTACTTTTGTAGCGTTGCTCCAATGCTGTGCTGTATTAACAGTCCATGGATGTAAAGCTATTATATCTCTATAATGGCACGTCTAGATAAGCGGTTAGTGCATCTAAGGGCGCCAGTCTTTTATAGAGACAACTGATTCGTATTATTTTCTATGATAGTCCAGAATTACTATTTAAACTACCAATAATTGTCGAAGAGACTTGTGCAAGTCTAGTACTTTCGCAATACAAATGTGGACTTGCACAAGAGTATGTAGGTCAAGATCATCCCGATACGTGTCAGCAATCCAGTGAGGTCAACCCAACTGTATTGACCCACATTGACTGCTGTGAACAGAGCGCCAGCCCACATTCAGATCATTAAAGGTTATCGTATCATTTTCGGTGCAACACCGGCTATTGATGATGTAGCTGTCTCTATCGCATCCGCTGCTGGTCCAGTCAGCACACAAGTGTGCACCACACAAACTGGTATGTTGTTTCGAGGTGTTGTAGAGGTGAGCATCGGCCGTATCTGTTTTGCGTCGATACAAGGCGACGACGACGTCTACGCAAACTGACAAAGATGTTGCAGACGTCAAACCGTTCCCGGCGCTGCCCGAAATGCTTGCCTGTTGTTGGCATCCCCGGTCGACATCATCAAGAATTCCGCCAAGCTGAATGGAATGATTCAGAATCGTCACGAAACGCATGGACCTATCTACCGGGAAAAGATGGGGAGGATAGATGCCGTGTTTCCGACGGTTGTTTGTTTGTTTACTGTTTAACACCGCACTCAGCAATATTCCAACTATATGACGGCGGTCCCGATCTGTAAATATTCAAGTCACGAGCCTGACCATCCGATCCCGTTAGTCGCCTCTTACGACAAGCATTGTCACCTTTAGCGTAAGCATGGGTTGCTGGAGACCAGGTATCTGACCAGGTATCTGACGGATGTGGAGGCGGTAGAGCAGCTGTTCCGACAGGATGCGAAGTTCGCAGTTCGAACTGTTCGATGGTCGCGGTTCATGATGTCAGTTACTGGTCTGCATGTTCCAACAAGAATATTCACACGATGTTGTGATATCACTGGATATTTGAGGTGGGAGGAACTCAGACGGTTACCAAGTAAAGATACATTCTCAAAATCTAAGGCTAAAAACAAATTACAGCTACATTCTCAATAGTTTCGCTGTTGTGTTTGCTTCGCAGAAAGTGGTAAGGATAGGGAATCGGACTATGATGACCCCAGTCACTAGGGGGTGATGATCATCCGACATGAACCATCACGACAAAACATGACCATTGTCTGGTATGTTTTTTTAATAATCAAAATAGAATCTTCGGGCACGTGGTAGGCAAGCGAGGCTCGGACACATTCTCATAGCTAAGCGATTCTGTGGTCGAAGCTCGACCACCTCCATTTGTCCATTCTTACACGAGCCTGTCCAGTTGGTTGTGAAGTCAGTGGCTTACTGAAATACAGTAAAACGTATTTGAGTATGTTACTTTGTGTAAACAGTACAGTACATGAATGTCTAATGTAACTAGGAGCTACGGTTCTCGAACCCATCGCTTCTTGACTGCTGGAGAATCCCTCACTGCCAGGCGAGTTGCAGGGTAGGTCGCAGACGCAAACGGGCGACACCCAATTCCTGTTGATTCCCAGATTGAAACGCCAATGTTAACCCAGAAAACGGCGCGTAGTTCAGAGTGAATGAGTGAGTTGGGTTGAACGCCGCTTTTAATAGTATTACAGTTATATCGCGGCGTGTCAGCTTAATGTGGGAGGAAAGTCCTAAGTGATGCAGGTCTCAGACGTTTACCACTTCGGTGAAACCCACGAGCACGGGTATGGTGCTCACAAACCTGGAAACATACACGGGGCGAATCGGGATTCGAACCCACAATCATAGGTTTCTGGCATGTCCGAAGGGATGCAACTCTGCACAGCGAATCGCGACGCCTTAGACGACTGGGCCACCCGTGCCCCATGCACCTGGTTCAGAACTAAAATGTGAAATAACTACACAAGATCAATGAACAATCAACACTTGCCATTGAAATACTCAGGATGAGCTTTACAACCATAAAAAGAAATACAGTGGGTCAAATATGTGGCAGCAGCAGTTTATAATAGGCCATATTACAAAAGTCAGTGCACTCACGAATTGTCTCGTCCCACAAAGTCATCTTCGCCCTGTGACTGTCGTAATCCATTTACTTTAACATAGCGAGAAGATAGTCGTAGCGCTGAGATCGCATTGTGTAACTTGGCCCTTGGTGCTGTCCGCGTTAGCTATAAACAAGTCAAACTTGGGGCTTGTCCTTAACCTGTAGTTTCAACCCCATCACGGGTAACCAATTATAGTACGGACAGAGTTAGGTCCCTTACTCCTTCACATCGCTGCAAGTTTGGGGTGCGCTATGCTACATGAAGCGAACCTACAATCTAAAATTGATGCTTGTTTCATCCAATATCATTCGGATTTGGGGATTATTACAATGACAATGCATACGGCTGGCACAGTTACCTGTGTTTGTTTGTTGTTTGATGGAATTATCTCGCTATACCACTCCAGGTTACAGATAAAATGAAACTTTTTGGAACGAGGCCCGTGAGATGGGACAGGTGCCCCTGGTGATTCATAGACTGTAATGGGGAGAAGGTATACATGTAACCTGGCTGAATGTGTCGGGGATACACTCGTCCTACAACCACTGGCCTGCGTGATAAACTTGAATATATACAGACC